TCTTTCTAAGTCATTTAGTATTACCTGTTCGCGACGTCACAATGTAAAAATTAATAATTTCTTCTAAGAATACATTCTCAATTATCATATTAGTCGCTTGATAATTCTTCCTCCTAAATTTCACTTATATTAAATGTGTTGCTAATATAGTAAGTTTCTAAGTATCCATTTCTTCTAAAACCCCACTTTAAAATCCATAATTTATTTGATATGACAGGCTTTTCAGCCCCAAATGTTACCTATTCTAAAATGTGTTGTTTATCCACGTCAATTTCTACATGTAACTTATTAATAAATAAATAATCTATGCATTTTGCTTTATTTATTAAATTATTGTGGTGTGTTCCGTCACAACTACCTTGTGACTGGCTGTGTCGTGGTTTCCCATGCACAATCTTCAAACCTGGCCACATCTGCGTCAAACTTTCCATAACTCGATTCGCGAACTCTCTGCCATTGTCGGATTGAAGTATTGAGGGTGATCCAAAGATACAAAATATATCAAGTAATTTCTTTACAGACAATACAGACGGCTACAATTATGAACAGACCTAGACCTAGTTCTAGCCGAAATGATATCGGATAGACTTAGTTTTATCCAACAGGGAATGGCCGAACCTAGTTGTAGCCGGCATGATGAAGGCTAGACCTAGTTTTACCCGAAAACAATCGGCTTGTACTAGGTTTAACCAAGAGTAAGTGGCTACACCTAGTTCTAACCGGCTAAAACTAGGTGTAGCCGCACTTCGCATATTAGCCGTAACATATATTTAAAATACTCAGAGGGAAGATACATAACGTGGTTATACTTGGTTGGGTATGTCTCAGGGTACCAGACCGGTATAAATGGCGCAGGAGGCAGGTGCCATTTCTGATGGTTCCATCTGCACGCACAAACTTGTTAAAGGAGGCACCGTTCACACGCGCTATATCTACCATTAATATGATAGATAATGAAATTGACATATTTGATTGTGCTCTGAGTAAGTTTACAAAAACTGCAATATTTTTTTGTACATATAAATTAGCGAACTCTAATTTATATGTACAAAAAAATATAATATTATATAAAACTTATTATATATGACGGGGGTTTTATTCCAGAAGAATCTTTAGAGACAGTGACGCCAGCATTGCTGACGTCACTATCCTTATCACTAGGATCACTCATAACCACAAATGATAAAATGCAATATTGGAGCACGACTTTTATTTATTGAACAGATTCAATTAGACAATTAAACAGAATTACAATTTAAAATCAATTTAAAAGTACTTACAAGACAGATATTCTCGACGGTACACTCACTTGCCTCTAACGAGACTTCACCCACAACAATGACGAAATCCACCCGCCATCACTTTTTAAGCTAAAAGAGACGTCGGGCGCAAGTGCCATACGTTTAACACAAATTTTTCAAAACAAATTAACAAAATGATTTTTCGCTGTGATAAGTCATTTACGTAAATTTATTGATTATTTTTCTGAACTATTTTGTGTAAAAAATATCAAAGGAAATAGAAAAATCAATGGAACGGGAAACCACAATGCAAACGGGTATAAAAGCGGTTAACTCATACGCGGAGGTAACAAGAGGCAAGATCCAACGAATGCCAAAAACCCTGCATTCAATTCTCATAACATCAAGAAATGAAATGGATACCGCGGAGGAGGTGATCGGTAAGACAAAGAAAATACTAGAGCCAGAAAAGAACAAAATACAATTAAAGAGAATAAGAAAGGTCAAGGACCAAATAATAATAATTAGTTGTACGGAGGAACAAGAAACTCAAAGGATAAAGGAAAGGATAGAAGAGAGTGACGAATTGGAAGCTGAAAGGGTAAGAAATAAGAACCCACTTATCATAATAAAGGAGATAAAATACAAGATGACTGACGACGAAATAAAAACTGCAATAAAAAATCAAAACCCAGATATATACACGGACGAACTGGAGGAAGACGATTTTAAGATAAAATAGACGCAGGACCAGGAACACGGAAAAATGTCACATCATAGCACAAGTCCGACCTGAGTTCTGGAAGAGAATGACAAAGAAAGGGCACCTTTATATAGAGATGGAGAGGGTGAGAGTAGAAGACCAGACCCCCCTCATACAATGTACAAGGTGCCTTCAATTTGGACATGGCAAGAAATTTTGCCAGGAGAGTGCGGACAGATGCAGCCACTGCGGAGGACTACACCTGCGGGCAGAGTGCCCAGACAGGAAAGCAGGAATCCCTCCGCAGTGTTGCAACTGCACGCACGCAGACATACAAGAAACAAACCACAACGCGTTTGCCATCAGCTGTAAAATTAGGGAGAAGTGGGATAGCCTCGTCCGCTCCACAACGGCCTACGACTGAGGTTAAACACAAACGGACTACACAACAACACAGGAACAAAAAGAACACACACATAAACACAACAATAACACTAAACAAGAAACACACACATAAAAGAACATACAACAACAACACTAAACAATGGGGTGATTGGAATGATGGCCATTCCAAACAGACCAGTACAACAAAACAAAAATAAACATAGAGCAAAACATCATGAAGATGGAGGACTCTATGGGACAAGTAACATAATGTATCAAAGAATATATAAATGTATATATAAAAAAACCGGACATGACAAAATAAAAGATGTAATAACAAATAAAAACATGGAAAAGAAGTTGGAATGCAATATATATTTAATTATATATAAAAGCAACCTAAAAACATAGAATAACAAAATAAGATATATTAAAATAAGAATGTATAAATAGGATAGGACAAAATACCAACCATGGAACCGGACATGACGAAATAAAAGATAGAATAACAAAATAAAATATGAAAAAGAAATAGGAATACAATATATATTTAATAATATATAAAAGTAACCTTAAATACATGGAATAACAAAATAAGATATAATAAAATAGGAATGTAAAATTAGGACAGGACAAAATAGAATCAAAAATTGACAAACGAACGGAAGTAGTAATAACAACAAAAGGGGATGAAAGTTAGGAAATAGAACATTGTAATAGAATAAGTAGAATAAGTAAACAAGAAGAAATAACTGTAATTAGTAATAAGAATATATACTTGCAAGTTTATACAAGGATGAAAACAATGTATACAATAAGAGAAAACATAACTAGAAATATTATATAAAGTATGTAAAGATAGAATATGTAAAGATGAAATGAAAACTAAAAATAGAAATGTAAATACTATAACTAGATTAAAAAACATTGTATTAGAATATAGAAATCAAGGAAATGAAAATAGATAAGATACCGTGTATAATAGGTTAAGATGTTATTATGAGAATAAAAAACCTCTGTATTTTTAATAAATAAACCCAATAAATAAGGAAAAACAGAAAAGTAGAGTAGACTAGAACAGGACCGGCACTCCCAGCCGAAAGAATGAATGTGGAAGAATAGTAGAAAGATAAAGTATGCGGAATGAATGTTAGTACAAACGAGAGAACTGTAATGAATGAGAAATATAGCGAATACTAAGGGCCTGCTACAAAGTGGGGACAACTAGGAAGCTCGGCCATAGACTGTAAGGCCGAGCAATTTAAAAAAAAAAAAAAGAACTATTTTGTGTAAATTATTTAGTTTTTACTCAATTATTAGCAGAAACATCCGCTGCATAAAGATGCCACCGGAAGTTACGACCTGTGGATGAAATGAATTAGTTTATTAATTTTAAAGTTATCGCAAGGCATTACATAGAACATTAATTATTTTTATAAACTGATTTCGGTTCACAACATAATTTTAATCGTGTTATAATAAAGAGATCGGCGGAACACTGTCCTGAACAGGAAGTTGCAATAATTACTTAAGCATTACTAATTAATTTAAAAGCATACACAAACTATTTGTAAAATCAATACTCATTTTTATAACACGATTTCAGTTGAAAACTTAATTTTAAATCAATTCACACATTGTAGTACATGCCGGACATAAGTCGGCGGATGTTACATCGAGAACAATCTTTAATATTACAATTTAAATCTATGCTTTTGATCAGAGAGATTATTTTTAACATACATTAGGCAAATAATAAACCAAGGATTACAAAACTTAAATAATTTTGTCTAGAGCCGACATATATATAAAAAAGTAAGGTATTCAGTTAAGATGAGAAAAATTGTTAAGGTTAACATCGCATTGGCTATACGCTGTAATGATCGATGTAAATGTTGTTGATAATAAATAAATAAATAAATTAGAAGTCTCCTTACGCTTCTAATTAGATCAAAGTAAAAAATCTGTTTTTTTTTATATAGGATGAGTATATTGCATTTTTATTTCTGTTTTCCATAACAAACGTCACAAGTCTACACAGCTACTTATCTTGGAACCTAAGCAATTAATGTGATATTGTCAAAAGTTTATATATTTATGTAGTTTTAATAATAATAAACAGTAACACTTCTCAAATAACAAAATTTAGCGAAAATTAATAGTAGTGCTCGGTAGCAGTCTAGCTCGGTGGCGTAGTGGACAAGTGCCGCGACCCGCGATCGTTGTTGTTAAGCAACTTTCGAAGAGGTCTGTCGCGGGATGGGTGCCCACAAAAACATTATCACGATCTACACCATGCTTCGGAGTGCACGTTAAGCCGCCCCTCCTCCTTTACCGTCCATAAGGAAGGCCTAAGCCGCTGCAGTGGGGAAGTAAAAGGTCTAATGTTGATGAACGAAAATTAATTATATGCTAAAATTCTCTTAACGCCAATTAAAAGTATTACTAAAACTTTTTTGAGATATTCATAATGTTTCCCAACATCTATATTCAACAGCTGTAGAGAAGCTTGGGCGCAAGAAACACATATACTTAATGAAGAAAATATTATTTGGATATTGTAAGATGATATAGCACAACTAGAATAGCGTAATATCTGATAAATAACTCGGTTACGATATGAAGAGCGTTATCTCTTACAACGAAAAATAATTGATTGGTATAATTGGCGTTTAATCACCCCAGTTGATAAATATTGGCAGTGATTGTAGAACGTCAACTATTTACTGTGTCCGAGGTAAATAATAAAGTGTATATATTTATCTATATTAATAATATAAACAGGTAAAGTTTCTAAATTTATTTGTCAGAGGTTTTTCACCCGCGAAAAGCTACATCTTTCGCGGGTGAAAGCATTTTATTACATACATCATCTACAATTCACGCAAGCGAAGTGAGATAGTAATATTATAAATAAGATTTTTGTTGTATTGACGAATAAACCCGACAATAACACGACCGATTTTAAAAACTCTTTCACCAATATAAAGCTACATTACCAGAGAGAAACAAAGGTTATCGGTATTTTAATTTGAATTAAAAGCCACACGAAGTTTGCTGAATCAACTAGTTACCAATTATATATAAACAATAATTTGATATCAACTAAAAATCTTCATCAAATGTTCAACTCTAAGACTGAGAACTCACGTATCGATTTTAAGTCGCACTACGGCTAGGAGCAAAAGGAAATCAGGAGACCATGTATTTAAAGTATGGTACATAACGTTTTATATTTACATTAATAGCAATTGGAATTGACTCGCCGTTGGGCTTCAGTAGTTAACCAAAAAGTATACAAATCTTAGACTACAACATTTTTCAGGATGACGTGCCTACAACATTCCTGTCCAGATTACACTCAGGGAATTGCTGGAGTTAATTTCTCCAATTTGGTCACTCATCTGTTTGCTGCGCAGTGTCTACTCACTGAACCGTGGCCAAAAGACAGATTTGAGGATGTATCTGGTATTATTTATTTATTAGACATCGTGTCAGTTGCTCGAGTATGCGTAGACTAAAAGAGAACCTGTTTGCTTAACAATAGATATTAATAGGCTGGTGAAGAAGATAGACGACTTATATACTCGCAAATCATTACAATAGTTATAAAAGTGTTGCATAATTCCATCATCATCATAACAATGGCTTATAATTAATAACACAATAAACGAAAAATGTGGTAAATTTTAATTGTTGCTTTTTAAATTTTTTATATCGGGAAAATTAAACGAGTTCACGTTTTAGATGTGACACACCCCTTAGAAATATTAATAGTGCAATATTTATACGTTTAATTACAGTTTATTTGAAGTTATTTTTTTGTTCAAAAACCAGTTAAAGTTCGTGTACATGCTCTCTTAATTGTGATTGTATTATATCATTTAATACCAATTTTTCCCCCTATTAATTGCAGTTTAAAAATGTTAGTTTATCCATAAAAAACCTTAACTTTTAAGATGGCGACACGTTCGATTTCATTGTGGTGGGATCAGGGACTGCTGGCTCTATTGTGGCTAGCAGGCTCTCCGAGGTATCTGAATGGAAGGTGCTTCTATTGGAAGTTGGTGAAGACCCTCCACTAGAGTCCATTGTGAGTACTTTAACGGTTTGATAAATCCTTGCAGAGCAAATTATTACACTTTTAATATAATTAAGATGAAAAAAATATAAAGACTTTGTCTACGTTTGCTATAAACGCATAATGATATGCTTATTCTATTTTATCATAATTTTATGTTGAAATTTTAAGTCTTGTTAAGTTACAGTATTTCCGTTTTTGTCTTGTATGTGAAATACATCTTTAATAATATTAAATATATTTTTTTTGGTTTAAGATTCCAAGTTTTTCTGGCGCTACACATAGAAGTAAACACGTATGGCAATACTACACAGAAAGAGACAATAATACTAATAGAGGCAGTGTGGACGGAAGATCGTTTTGGCCTCGAGGCAGAGTCCTCGGTGGTACCGGTTCTATCAACGGACTTCTTTATATGAGAGGAAGCCAGGGAGACTACGATCGGTGGCAAGTAGAGAAAGGCGATGGCTGGGATTGGCAAACAATAAAACAATATTTCATGAAAAGCGAAAAAATTATTGACCCTTTAATTTTAAATAATCCCGACTTAAGAAAAGAGCACGGCACTGAAGGTGAATTCATTGTTGATCAATTGAATTTTACTCACAGTGATATAGCAGATAAGTTAAAAAATGCTTACTTAGAAATGGGCTTAAAGTATTTGGAAGATTTGAATGGACCGACTCAAATGGGCGTTGGTAAAATAATGGGAGGAAATCACAAAGGCAGACGAGTTAGCACGGCAACTGCTTTTCTTAATCCAGCTAGTAAACGAAAAAATTTATACATTTTAAAGAATGCATTTGTTACAAAAGTAGAGATTGACGATAAATATACTGCCAAAGGAGTAAGGACGATTGTAAAAACCGGCGATGCATTTATGTTTTATGCTTCTAAAGATATAATTTTAAGTGCGGGTGCTATAAACACTCCTATCCTTTTAATGCTGTCCGGTATAGGTCCAAAAAATCACCTTCAAGAACTTGGTATCAAAGTTATACAGCATATGGCTGTTGGGAAAAATTTACAAGACCATGTTAGGATTCCTATTCCCGTGACAATAGATACAGGGGCAAAACCGAAGGATGAGAAGTACTGGTTGAGAGCTGCTGCACAATATTTAATAGATCAGACGGGTCCTCATGCAACTAACTATGATCAGCCCAATATAAATGCTTTTTTCTCAGTTCCAGATGGAAAAGAATTACCTGATATTCAAGTAGATCATAATTATTTTGTACCTAATACATCACATGTTTATTTAATGTGTAAAGACATAATGTCCTTACAAGACAACATATGTAAACAGTTTTCAAATTTTAATTCAGAGAAGGAATTAATTATATTTTTTGTAGCTTTATGTAGACCGGTTTCTCGGGGCAAATTAGAATTACGTTCGACGAATCCGTCAGATTTCCCTAAAATATTTCCAAAATATTTTAGTAACAAGCGCGACATGAAAACTTTTATCGATGGTATAAAAAGATTAACTGATATTATTAATACTCCAACGTTCAAAGATGCTAAAGCTGAATTGAAAAGGATACAACACAAAGATTGTGATGTTACTGAGTTCGCTAGTGAAGATTATTGGGAATGCATGGCAAGAACGGTCACTTATAATGTTTATCATCCTGTAGGTACAGTAAAAATGGGTAAAGATGATGATTTACGTGCTGTTGTTAATAATAGACTTAGTGTATATGGATTAAGAAGCTTGAGAGTAGTAGATGCAAGCGTAATGCCTACTATACCCAGCGTAAATACCAATGCTGCGGTTATGATGATCGCTGAAAAGGCTTCAGATATTATAAAGGAAGATTATGGGGCTTCTAATGATATTTTTTATAATAACATAAAAGATGAATTGTAAAAAAATGTTTTAATTATATTATTTCAATGAAGACTATTTTGGGTTATAAACTGAATGTTAATAAGTGCGTGGAGCTTTATGCCACGTAAAAAGTTTAAGCGATACTTTAATTAATGTGTTACTTAAGTAAATAGAAACTTAATTCCTGATACTCATTATACACATTATAATATTCATTAATAAGTAGCATCAAATGAGATTTGCAATCTACGTTTGATGCTATTAATAAAAACAATTGTAATTCATTATTGACGGCGTCTTTAATATTGTTTCAGATATCGCTTTAGCTCAATGAAAATAATCTGCGAAAAGAAAATTTTTATAAAATCCTTATTACATTAAATGTATTTACTTTTATGCAAAAAATAGATATATACTCTTTGGGTACTAGTTTCACAATGGTCTATATTATCTTTACTCTTTGTCATCTAAGTTGTCAATGCATTGCGATGCAATGTTATCCAAAAAAAGCATATTTATATTTTATTTTACAATTACCGTTCATTTATGTTGAAGTATTAAGCTCGATTACTGTTTTGGATAAAGGTGTTACCCCGCTAGAGAAACACTCAGTTGGAATTCAATTTTTCGTTGATGCCGAAAATAAAGATAGAATAAGCAATTGTAGAATATCTACCTCTGCTAAAAACTGTTGCTTGAATGATAGTGAAGAAGATTGTAATATTATGCAAGTCTATGGGGCAGATTATAGCTTAAAGCCAAAAGACAGAGAAACATTTGTATTTATTTATCCAACCCTGTATCAACATGATCAAGTTGGTTATTGTGATTTTATCATAGAATATCAATGTGGTAAAAAGAGACGGTCAAAAAAACAAATCGTAAACATTCCTTTTGATACTAAGATTGCGGGTAGTAAAAAGAAATCAGGTTTTTTTTCACATTACATTGATGGTGAGAAAGTTACATCGTGCGATAGTTTAGACCAGGATTCTCTTAACAATTGTGAAGCTGTGAATTGTGATTTCAAATATGGTGGCAACCGCCAATTTTACGATTTTGAATCGGGAAAGTGCTCACAGGCATCGTTGTGTGAATCAGACCCTGACGAGGAACTCCCAGATATAGCATATGTTCCCAGTACCAACACATGCAGAGATTTGGACCATCCTATGACAGTTGCGGATATTTTCGCAATAAGTACGGGGACGGGTGTTGTAACGAGGCCGTCAAATAATGACGATCTAAAAGTGGAGCTGAAATCGAATTGTTCAACGGTTTCTCAGAATTTGAGTTTTTTGCATGATTTAATGCGAGGTAATTTTTGTCCAATGTCTAAGACAGACACTTCAGACTTTGCAAAATGTTGGAAGCATGCGATTATATTTATTATTAGTTACATACTCGGCGTTTGTGGGCTAGTTTTATCATTTATATGCTGCGTCCAAAGTATATTGTGGTTGCATAAACAAATAAGAAATGAAGATGTACGCGATCTTTATAAGAAAATCAGAGGTAAATTTCAAAAATCACCTTATCCTAACAAAAGCTATGATATTGTAAATAGTGAGGTCAGGAATACTCTTCTTCGTGATGTGATAGTAAAGGATATTCCATTAGAGCTAAGAGAGAGTATAGTGGACATTTGCGATAGGATGGATAGGAAAGTCAAGAAGAAAAAGAGATATAGGAAAGCAGATATGGGGAGTCAGGTGAGCCTGGTCAAAGTTGAGTATGACGTGATATCGTCCTCTAATACTTCATCGAACACATCGCTTGACGCTAAAGGGGAAGAAGTAATAAAGTGAAATATTTAAAATCCCTATATTGAGTTTGCGAATACTTCTTAAAATAATATAATAGGTACACATTTTTAAAATCTGTAGATGTACACCTAATTGTTGTAGATTCTTTAATTTTATATCGTAATGTCGAAGTTCTTACAAAGTTTTTGTAAATAAAATTATATTTAAAATTTTCTTTTTATTGCTCAACTAACTTATTACATGTACTCTGAATTAAGTAATTTTCTCTTTGGTGTAAACTTTCATAACTGTCATCGGGTCCTCACATTAGTTAAAGTGCATGATGTCAAGGTTTATCATCGTGTTGATATGATATCTAAAAGCCTCATTTATAATTCTATGCGAGCGAACCTCTTAGCGTTAGCTAGTAAACATTGTTTTTAGAGTTAAGGTAATGCTACACTATTTTTTTCGTAGGATTCGCAGTAAAAAAAAACATCTTAACATGCTGATATTGAGGATCTTATTTTCACAATAATCAGCGTGATGGATCAGTTATACGGAGGGTAATTAACTTTCTTAAGGGCTGTGCATAGGAAAAGTGACCAAAAAATTACTAACAGTGTTCGGTCCCGGCTGTACCTGCCCTCGTCGCTCAGTTGGTGGTTACTGGGCGTATTGGTTGATAGTTCTACCAATTTAATTCCTATTAGATAGAAAAGTCCCGTGCACCACCAGTGGGAACATAAATGGTGGGAACATAAAAGGTACCAAAAGCTAATATGGTTACATAAGTAATAATAAACCCAGGTAAAAACAAGGTTACAAGTATTTACAATATTTGGCTTAAACTCCCTGACACACACATCTCCACATTACAGAACGAAAGGTTCATAATTAACACAAATGCATATATAAGATGAGAAGTAGCAAATTAAGTCCTGTTTTCAAGTGTCTAATTTGTAAATTTGTTGGTTCATCCAGATGTGGCTTACCTATTAAGCAACATAGATGGGTGATAGATCGGCATGACAACCTTTATAATGTTCCAAAACTCAAAATAAATATGCAATTTTGAACTTGTATAATTAACACGTGTCTGTCTGTCATACAGCAAATTTACACTGAAATTACTGAACTGATTGAGTGGAGAGTAAGTGTAATCAAAATTCATTTTGAACCCCATTTTCGCAGGTGAAATAGAAAAAAAAATGCAAACTACACCTTGTGTCATTTATACTATTTATTCTAATATTATAAAGAGGAATGATTTTATTATTTGGTTGTTGGTTTACATCGAACTCGAACACAATATTGTTACAGCATTAGAAGTTGAATTTGATAAACTTTATTACTGTTTGGAGTGGGTTTTATGTAATTCAATTCATTTATTCAGAACAATATGCATTGTGTAGAATCATTTAAAGAAGATAATTACACAACACAATCACAACCAAACAAAATCATTATCGTAATTCTATGATTTATAACCAGAGGTCGGAATTAGGTAGAGTTATTTATGTACTTGCATCGAAATGTTGATATTAATGTGGACCTTCCCGGGATTTCTTTATTTCTTTCTTTCATTGATGTAAGTTTCGCAACGTCGTGTGTGCAGTAGTTTAAATTGTGTAAAAGTAAATAACTTTTTATTTAAAAAATCACGGGATTTTTTCTGCTCTTTAAAATTAATCTCGGGATTGGAGGCATATCCACGTTATTCTTTCGCTGTATGAAATCAGTGTAAGTACATGAATAACTACCTAATTCCGACCACTGTTTATAACAGATTAGGGAGACTTAATTGACAATAAGTTCATTATTATTACATAGTCAAAATAGTAGTATAATGTCAATATATGAATGTCAAACTAAATATAGAAATGTCAAAACTCACAAAATTAATATGTGTTTATTAAGTAAATAAAGATTAGTATTATTCATATACCGAATAAAATCATTTCACCAACAAAATTCTTTAACTATTAATTTAAATTTGTAATTCTTATTGTAACCAAGTGATATCAAGAACCATGCTACACAACGTCTAGATGAGATATACATTTATTATTACAGTTTTCTCTCCTTCCTCTAATGCAGATAAAACGCTGTATTTTTCTAACTGTGATTCTGCAGGATGCAGTCTATTGCAGAATGTCTTGTGGACATTTATAATAAACCATGTCATTACCAAATAGCTATCTATTACGAAAATAAAAATAACATAAAACACCGACAACTCAATAGTTAGCAAATATACAATATAAGGTCTCGTGTCTTCAGAGTGCACCAATTACTATCGTAGCAAATAGTCGCTCAACCGGCACTTCTAAACTACAATTTGAGTCACTGAACGAGTGTCTTCAAACGGAAAGACATGATGAGATGTGTGTTCAAGTGCGGAGAATGGGCACTTTCTTCTAACAAGAAAATTTCAATTCAATATAGCCAAATGTTTTTCTACACCACCTCTTTACCATAGACTAGCTGTAGTTAGTAGCTTCGCCAGCAGGAAGCTGTAAAAAAATATTTGATTGTAATATTACCCGGCTATTCCTTGCCCTCCAATCCGCATTGGGCCAGCGTGGAGGGTCATGGCCCATCCTCCTTAACCATCCATAAGGAAGGCCTGAGCCCCTGCAGTGGGGACGTAAAAGGGCTGATGATGATGATGATGATTCCTTGCCGATCACAGGGGCCATTCTGATGCGAGATAGTACAGAAGGCATTTACTGAGTTTGGCCCTGAGTTTTTGACTTTTTCTCGAGACTAGTTCGCTAATAGAAAAGTATCAAACAACCAAGACGTCTCGCCTACATGAGAGGCGGCGTGGTAATACATTCTTCTTAACATATAAGAAGTATAAAATATGATAGTACTGCCTAAGATGACTCGTTGTCCTTTAACGCGCGAGTGGTAAAAATAAACGGGCTGTTCGAGGGTTTCGATGTTAGGCTTAGAATTTTAAATAAGGAGATTAGAAACATTAGTTTGACTTGTGAAAAGTGAAAAACTTAAGTTATTGAGTAATAATCAGTTGAGATTTGAAAGTTTTCTCAATTCAGAAACTCAATTTAGTAAAAATAATACCATTTTCCGTAATGTATGTTTAGAATAAGATAATTTTCAAGGCGAGTGTGCACGCAGCATTACAACTAAAACAGTTTAGCGAGTTGGCTCAAGTTGAGTGACAAAACGCGAGACGACGGTCGTCTCTAACTTCTGGATAACTCAAGTTGAATGAGAGCTTTATTGTTGCGCTATTTACTCACATTATACTGTAGTTTAAGTTTTAGTGTTACATCTTTCTGAAGCAGCCGTTTTAATACAATGATTGAATGATAACCATTCGAATTTTGTACAGAAACAAAACCCTACGATATTCATTGGTCATATCGCATGCTAGTAAAACTGCTAACTGATAAAAACGAAATGAGATCCATTAGAAGCGTTAAAATTTGTAGTAATGAACTTAATAACATTCCAATAATAAAAATATTGATAAGTCTGTTGTATAGGGAGAATGTCATCTCCCACAAATATATGAACACTCAGTACTTTGTAATGATATAGAAATTGCTACCTTCTCGATTGTTTACTCAATGTGCGAATAAACATTGTTTTAATCTCGAGCATAAATTGGAATTAGATAATATGTATATGTAAACTATTATAAATTTATTAAGGCAGAGGGCCAGGCAGACTTCTGTAACGAATAAAATAAATATAAAGGATTATATCAGTAATGCTTAGAAGGAGGTTAGATTAAATTAAAGATTAAAGTTTTGGAATGGGTTTTTAGGGGTAGGCCGAAATGTGGGAAAATGTATGATAACATGTGCGAAACCAAGATATTTAAAGTTAAGTTTAAATGGTGTCAAAATAATCGTGATCAATGAAAATGGATATAATTGCTAAGTCATCAAAAATTGTTTCTAATTTTGTAAAAGTGTGAAAATATCTGGCCCTTCTAGTTGTATATGTGAAGTATCTGTCCTATTCTTCCAAAGATGTTTATGTCATAATAAAGGGCATGAATGGGTCACGACGGCACTCAGTTTCGAACACTCACGGAGCGTGGTCCACATCTAGAGTTCTATGTTTTAAACATTATGTATTGCTCACTACTGTAATGGCCAAAGTTGTCTACTTCTAACGTCTACTTGATAAACAGTTGGTTAAGCACTAAGATATTCACAATGCCCTATTCTAGTTTAAGGGTAGTCTGTCCACAAAAAGTGCCACTTTTTTAATGTAGAAATACTATGTGAATAAAAAGACACCGGTTCTTGTCTGTTTTATAGATATCTCGCGAGCTTTCGACCCAGTATCTTCTAACGTGTTATGGTGAAATCTTCATGATAGTAGCTTATCAACAATATTGGTATAGTAATCAAGTTAACAGAGTGAAATATTCTAGGACACATTCTAATGGTTTGAAATGCCAGGTTTGGCAGGGTGGGGTGTCTTCTCCATACCTATTTAATTTCTATGTTAATCAGCTAATAGATGACCACAGTAAACAACCAATCGGATGCTATAGATATAGACGGTACGTGTGTAAACAATGTTAGTTACGCGGACGATATGGTGCTGTTAGTGCCATCTCTATCGGTGCCATTAGAAAACTGCTTCAACGTGTCAACAGTTGTTGGGGAGTCATGGGTTACAATATAATATAAGAAAAAATTAACTTATGTTATTTGAACAAAAGGTATTTCCGTTGTTCAAGAAAGATAAAAATTACACTACTTAAATCATTTTGTCAAACTTTTACACGGGTGGCTTATGGATAGTGTATAAATAAAAACTTAAAAAAATAGAATCGACTTCAAACTTTAAACAAATATATAAATAATACTTATCTGAAAAATTAAAATGCAATTGATGTCGGGAGGGTGGAGGTCGAGGTTTCTGTAAGTTATTAATTAAATCATAGGCTATATTGAACTAAGTGAAAGTCTTACAAAAGAAGTTAATTTGCTTGCCATAATTTTGTCCAATAATTCAATACTCATATTATTAAGTGAAAATATTTGTTTGCTTCTTTGTTTGCATTGTATAGACTCCGAAACTATTGGACCAATTTATGAAAATCTTTCATCTAAGGGAAGCTACTTAATACGCGTTGGATATAGGTTATAATTTACGCAGGCGAATCCGCGGGGAAACAGCTAGTTTGATAGAAAAAAAATCAAGTAGAAATTGATTGACATACCTCATCACCACCAGCCCTTATACGTCCCCACTGCAGGGGCTTAGGCCTTCCTTATGGTTAAGGAGCATGGGCCATGACCCTCCACGCTGACCCAATGCGACTACAAATGCAGCCTTCCAAAGCACGGAGTAGTTAGAGATAATAATTTTTTGGTCACCCATCCCGTGACCGACCATTGCGAAAGTTGCTTAACGACAACGATCACGTGCCGCGGCGCTTATCTACTACGCCACATATATCCATCATACCTACTTTCATAATAAATATACATACTCCTTGAATATAGAAAATTGTTTCGGATTTGAATGAATTCCAAATACGCAACCTTTTATATTTTAACTGGAATGGGCCACGTGTTTCCATATGAACTAAATATATGGGTGGTATTTGGTGAAAAACACATATTTTGTTTTGTTATAAAATTTAAATGGGACTACTATGGTCCATTAAGCTGGTAAATAAAAAAAGAAATTTGAAAAGCGTTCAGCAAATGGCGGATAATTCCTAGATATATATATATATATATTTTTCATTTATTTTGGCATCAACCAGTCATGTAAAATAACAATAATTTCACAAACAATAATGATTAAAAAGACTTACAGTGCCCAAGTTTAGCAAAAAAACAAGTTATTTCATACTTAAACGTGATCAGACAAATATTCATCCAATAATAAAATAATGCGAGTGATTACAATAAAAATCAGATCAGAGAAGACCAACCAAAATGTGACAAAATAAAATAATAAAAAAAATATATTTATTGTAAACATAATTATCATTTACTTTATTTGTTTATTCTTATTTAATATTCTTTAGAAATGTGTTAAAGAAATCTAAATAATTATGCAATAGTAGCTGTTTTCGCGTGACTTCGCCTGCGCATCATAACGTATTTCCACGTCTAAGGTAGTTACCCGAAGGTTAATCTTAAAATCGGTCCAGGAATATCAGAGACCATTCAAGGCAAACAATTATACAGTCAAATCTTTCAACTTTCAAATCAAAGCGGTCAACGATTGGAAGTGAAGAATAGGATATATAAAAAAAACATCGCCGTCGAACATATAACCTCCCCCTATCGGAAACCGGCTAAAAAGCTGTCGCCGCTCCTCGCATTCGATATAATACCGCATTTAGTGTGTTGATGGGGCTCACGCGGTTCTGCAGTGCGCAGGCATGTTCGCGAAGACACGCACAGGCAAGTTTCAAGCGTTTATACTTTAAAAAAAAAACACGTTTTTACTATACAGAATACGCGGCAGAACCAATATATCCTACGTACGATAGCAAGAAAATTGTGCAGACCTTTTTTCACACACTGTGCCTGGATATTGATGAAATAGGAAATAGAAAAAAAATAACATATCTAAGTTCAGTTTTTACTAACAATGATATGGATCTTGTATGTCCAAAATAAAATTTTCTAATATTATTATTGAATCTCTAGTGGTATGATTCGTCATTAAACTTCAATCATAAAAACCTTTTAAAGGTTTTTGATTGACCCTATGACGAAACAACGATGAGTTCGAGGCTGTTCTTCAACAGGTTAACACTGTTGTAGCCTATTCGACAAAAAATGATTTCTAACAAATCATTAACTAGCAACCAATAGGAGGCAAGGTAAGTTTGCAGTTTTTTAAGTTGTAGTAATTTCGTATATGATTTTTTCCTATTTAACGATTTGGATGTTGTTTAGGTAATTTGAATGCATTTATTTTATTAATTGGGTTCACCAGCGTTTATGTACATCAATACAACATTTTCCATTACATCTATATGTAATAAACTATCAAGTGAAGCACTTCGTGCATTAAAGAAGGATAATCACAATGTGTATTACATTTAATAGTAATGCAGATAATAATACCGTCTATACATATACTTTTATGATATCTTGCCATGCCATGTATTTTGCCTAATATATGGTAGGTAACTGACAACCTATAGAAAGAAATGAGACCCCATTAGAGACGTCACATCATAAATACACAAATATCGCAACTTTCGTGGAATATGCACAAATTATGTGGAATGGAATGTAAACAAAGTCTATTTTCTATTATAGCAAATATGTTATTGGGTAATTGCGTTCAGACGGGCAAAAAAAGAAGAAATTGAACCACCTAGAGCACCGGTCCTGTATTATAAAAAAGCATTGCGAAGGTTGGTAAGCAGACAAAATTATAAAATAAAAAAGAGATGAGAATGCGAATCTTTATTATCTATCAACTTATAAGCTACTAGATTCTTTTTCACATATGAATGGCATTAGGGCACCACTACACCAAACGTCGTCTAGTAGACCAGTGCGATACACCCCGCCGCAAAATGAGCCGTTATCATAGTTAGTGTTATTGTCTGGCTGACCGCTTGAAAAGGTTGAATATCCAGCTTCCACGAGAGATTGACCTGAAAACGGAAAAAAATAAGCATATCTGCAACTCATGAAACGTGACCGATTACAAACTGATGGCGTATCTCAGCCCTCCCTTCTACTTCCGAACGAAAGCCTTTATTAGCTTTTGAAGTAGGCTTTATTTGATCGAAACTCTAAGCGTTACAGCGACGCGTTTATGATAATAATAATAGGCATTTATTTTGTGAACACACAACACAGTATAAAACAAGCCCGAAATTTAACAGTTATATACACACACGAAATTTAAAGTGTAATGTTGTGTGCTGTCAAAACTGGCCTCAGCTCAGAATAGAGACAGACTTGAACAGACAATTCCTAGATATAAATTAATTAATTATGCATTAGTAGCTGTTTTCGCGTGACTTCGCCTACGTATCAAGCGTATGTCACCCGCATATAATGTAGTTACCCGTAGGTGATTGAATTTTCAAAATCAATCCAGGAATATCAGAACCCATTCAATGCAATCAATTATACAATGAAATCTTTCATATTTATAATGTTAAACATCTCTGTACACTCACCATGAACTGTGTACCAAACACCGTGTTCGCCCCAGTCATAGTAGCCAATGGAGGCGAGATCTTTGAATCTTGATATAATTTTACCGCTCGGGTATTTAGAGAAGAGGTCTTTGATGACCTGCACTTCGACGGCACTATTGATGATGGCCAGGTGTCCTCCCTCTGCCATACAGGTCATGTAGGCTCGTCTCCAAGTGCGGCCAACTCGGTGGAACTTGTACCAGTACGAGCGTCCAGGAAATATTCTAACACAAAATCGAAATCATTGCATTTTTTTAATGTGGTTAATATAAAAGATATAAAAAAATATATCAGTACTAACCTGGGTCCATGGTTCCACAAGGTGATAAAACCGGACCAGCTGTCTTCTTGTTATAGCAAATATAGGGGAAAGTGTCATTGCAGCGGACGTCAGCCAGGGTGCCATTATTCACCATGATGATGCAGTCTTCGTTGTTCCCATAGTTGTCTGGTTCATTGGGTGCCCATTCAATGGGTATATTAGATAATGGAACTCCTGCGAAAAGTTTATAACATAAATTCTTGACATAACGCAAACAAAAATATCAGATATCTGACATAATTTTTCCTTTATTAGGAAAGAAACCGTAGCACTCTAAGGTGTGATTCAAACCCTTTGACTTTTCGCAATCCGTACGACTTCGAAAGGTGATTTTTTTTCAGCATAGCGTTGTGAATTCAAAATTGATCAAATATGACAAAGATATATAAAAGAAAGATGTGTTATGGCATATAAATAATTGACTATTTGAGTTACTGCACGCGCAGGAAAGAATAGGCGAAAAGGAATGAAATAAGGCAAACATTCAATAGTTTGCCACTTGTACTATTAGAAATTGGAATTAAATTATTTAAAAACAACAAACCTTCGATGGAAGAAAAATCTCCCTTAGATAATGTTGCGTGTATACCCGTGAAGATGCCACAAGTGTCACTGCGCCCTTTAAATAGATCCACCATGGCACGCTGAAGATTTTCATTTAGCGGAGATGCTACCACTGACCCTAAATGAGAAATTAATATCTAGAAAGTTTTTCAAACCAAGTCTTCATTATCAGTCCGTAAAGCTCTTGTATGTAATTATACATAACATGATAATTTCAAATCGATTTTTTTATAATTCGCTTAACATTATATATCTCGTTAACCCAAAATGGTCGTGTTACTAAAACAAACTCATTTCAAGCCCTCAAAATTCAAAAAACGCTAAAAATCCGCACAAAGTACGTTTACGTTTTATCCTGAGAACCCCAATTCTACTTTGCGTTTGGCATGATTCGCAACCAGGGTTCTTAATTGGCACGATTTTTTTTTTATAATTATCATCATAATTATAGGATAATTTTCCGATAATTATCAATTTTTGAAATGCAGAAAAGCATATGTATTAATTATAATAATTATGCAAATAAAATAAACAAAAAATATAACTGAAAACACAATAAATAAAAAGTGAAAATAATTTATTTTTCAAATGAAAGATGCTTTAAACATTTTTTTGATCGTTTTTGTAGTCCGTCCTAGACAATTTTCTCTATCAGTTCTTTAAAGATTCCCTTTTGATAACAAGTCTTAAAGAACAAATAGTAAGTGTAGTATTTTATAATTATCAAGGTATGTTTATCAAGATAATTATCACTCAAAACCCTGCTCGCAACCCACATATTGTTTTCGTATATCACAACGGTGCCATACCTTCAGCATGACATCTCAGGAACGCATCCGTGAAGGTGGCCGGTACTGGATGGTACTTCAGCCAGCCACCAGCCTCTTTTTTGTACTCGTAGTCGAATCTGTATTGTTTGCAGTCTGTCAGGAATATATACTTACATAATTAGAACTTCAAGTTCTTGTGTGATAACCGCAAATAGGATTTAAATAGTATGTTTATATCCTAAGTTGAATAGTATTGAATATGCCAACTTAAAATTATATACATTCTGTGCTAACAATTTGACTTAATAGGTTTCAAACTCGATGAACAAATTTAGGTTAGGCTAGCATAGGCTACGAGAGATGCCCAGCTCATTTATGAATAAGCATTGTCCACAGGACTCAGATTGGGTCTTTGCTTGTACATAATTATGTTACCGACCAACGGACGCTACCTTCAAACAACGCAAGGGGATGTTTCGTCTGCTAGTCGCTAGATTGTGTTATGCGCCGCTGAATCACGCAAATACAATAGAGACTACGCGTCTAGTTATACAATGGCAGGAAAGGGACGATCACGAGAGAAAAAGGGACCAATAGCTGTTTTATAACTTTTAGGAAATCTCAGAATACACCGGTATGGCTGAAACCAGCCTAGAATGTTCTAGACTACTATATCTTTATGAAGTCTACCACTGCACCTATAAATACACGATGAGTTGCCTATCGCAACACTAATTCAGTGAAAAATTAACTGAATACAAAAGCGATATTCGTATCAACTAGCGTTATGAATTATCTAGACGACATAGTGAAATTAAAAGTGCTTTATTTCAGTGTCGGAGTTTTTCATTTAGTAAATAAATAGATTATCAGGTTGTGAGCTTAATTGGAGTTAAATTGTTTCGAGATCAGCTCGTAACATTACGTATCATCAGAATAAGAATAAAATAAGCACATAAGTCATTATTTAATAAACTATATATCGTTAAAGGAAAACCTTTAGAGTTTTATTTTATATTATAAAACTATATAGGTTTAATTTTAGAGCTTCGTGTAAGTATTAAGTTTTCATAAAGGTTCTTCAGCCAAATTAGTTTGATAACCGATGCCCTAGAGTAACAATGTAATAAAAAATCAAATTTACTCACCCGCCAATGTCATCCAAGACACGGTCAGAAAAAAAATATTGGCGAATCTCATGTTTTAGTAAGTTCCAAAATGATTTGGAGCTTATTGTCGACACAAAGACAGTACGACTCGAATAACAGAAGCAAACGGTATAACGTATTTATATAGGACTTAGTATTACTTAAATAAAATTATAAGTTTATCTTTAATCACTAACAAAGCGGTGTTCAACTGTATTTTTTGTGGTTTTGTTGCTAATTGACATTCTGATATCATAATATTTTAATATTGCAGTTAAATAAACAATATGAGTAGGTATTTGTATTGAAGAAATCAACAGTATAGGTATTCGGATAAATGTTCAAGTTCAGTGACTCGTGATACTAGATATAACTGGCCACTCTTTTTCTTTAGTTGATAGGCAAGGGCAGAATGAAGAAAAACAAAGAAAATCATCGTATTCAGACTACTTACTAAATCGGTTTCTTCCTTTATAGTTGTGCACAGATTATAAGGTCTAAAACATGCCCAACAATATTCAAAATATGCTCAATAAAGTAAAAGAGTACTTGAGTAAAAATAGCCCATATTATTAATTTTATATAAGAAACAATTATCTGTGCAATTGAGTAACGACTGTCAACAGCTAAATAAAATAGTGTTCTAACTTTTGATGGTTCTTACTTATTCAAATTGTTGTTGAAAAATACTTTACTTAAAATTAAATTGATTATTTATTATCTCGATCTACTCCGGAAGACACGTTAAGCCGTTGGTTCCGGCTGGGAAAGTAATCATTAACTCCACCAATCCGCACACGGCCCACTCTCTGTGTTCGATTTCATCCATATGAAAGGCCTGAACCCCAGCGGGGAGGATATTAATAGACTGGTAAGATAATACAGTATAGAGAAAAGTAGTTGAGACTATGGCAAAGCATAAGAAAGATTGAGAAATTTATATTATATATTCTCAGCCGCCACAGCGTGATGAATTAAAACACACACCTACTTTATTTATTTACTTTTACAATAAAACCTACGTACCTACTTTCAGTACCCGGTTCAATCGTGTCACTATAAAAATAATGAAATTTAATGGTAATTATTTTTAAAGCTTTCCTCCAGCGGCTTCACCCGCGTGGTTTTGTATTATACATAAAAACTTCCTTTTGAATCACCCTATCTATAAAAAAACGCATCAAAATACGTTATGTAGTTTTAAAGATTTAAGTACACAGGGATATAGAAAGGACAGAGAAAGCGACTTTGTTTTATACTATGTATGGGGCAGAACAACTAAAACCCGAGAGCCTGCTGTGTTTGCACATGAGGGAAAATTCGAAAAATTTCGAATCGTTCTTATAATTTTGTTGAAATCATTTTCGTGTAGATTATCTATGCATCAGAGGCAGCGTCAGCTCCTACCTCCGTTGCGTCATAAATTATCGAAAAATGTCTTCCTTTAGAGTCGTATTAGCGTTACGAAAATAGCCGACCTCTTGCTTTCACAGAAACTACAGTATGCCTTCTTGTATTATTAAAATAAATATACTTTGATATTAGTATATTTATTTTAATAATCCAATCAGCTCGACTTTAAAATATACAACCCTTCATATTTTCTTGACATATTTTATAAATAAAAATATAAATTGTGTATATTTCCACACTGAATTTAAATTAATGCATAGCATGACTTGAAATCATTTTTTGCACTCACTTGCACCGAATATTACTTATAGTTTTCTTTTATATCACTTATACATTTATCAGTATAATAATAAACAACATCACATACATTGCTTAGCATCGCTAACTCACTCGACAATCTAAAGTAGTGATCACCGAAGAAAGTGAGCAATTCCAATGTGTCAAAACACTAAATCGTATTTGCTATCAATGGTTCGCAATTTGATCTGAACTTCATATTGACAACGTCCATCATATATACTTTAATAGTTGATAAATAGGGATAACGATTGGGGAAAAAAATAAATTCTATTTATATAATCCATCATAATAGATTTGTTGTAGATAATTCTTTAAAGTGGAGAAGTTGGGGTTCGCTACGTCACGACTAGGTAGAAAATATACAAAGGTGTGAGATCACGCAACAAATAAAAAAATACGTGTTTAATATTCTCCAATAATCTACCTGACAGACAGACAAACAAAAACTAATCATGATCCCTATTGCACAGTTGAAGCGTTGGTCTGTAGATCGGGGATGAGAAGCACCCCCCAGGTTTCAAGTAAAAAGAACAAAACAAATAATGTTTTAACAATTTTTATTTTTATTTCTCAGGAGTAGGTACCGATTCGCTCGTATGGTTCTTGTATCTTCAATTAAGAGGACTTATCTTTAGGGTTTAGAGATATGATTTCATTGAGATATGATATGCAGGGTCACTGTATCACGGGCTGGGTAGGGACTGCCAAGGGTATAGACCCGAAGTCAGCTCCGGTCAGCAATACAGGTGAACCACGAAGGTTCGTCAGGTAGGACGCAGAGTAGCGTAGGTGAGGCGGGCTCCGGTGGAAGAACACCGATTTTAGGGTTATGTAGCACAAACTTACAAATATTTGAAAGTCACTTAAAAATTAAATATTGCTGCGCGAGAGGTTGTTTATATATACTATTTCACCATTATGAGCCGCGCCGTGCTCCCATGTTTGCCTACCTTAATACTATATTGTTACCAGTGTACCTATAATTATTTTTATAGATCATTTTTCTTTAAATTAATTTGTATCAAAAAATAAAAACGAATTAAGCACATCAGCTAAACATGCAAAAGAGAAACAGTTTATTTACATTTTATCTCGTATCTCTTGCCCTTGATAGGGACATCTTATCAGAGATGTACAAAATACCCTGTACAAAGTATCTGAAATACAAGATACAAAATACTTTTAAATTAAGTATTTCAGATACCAGATACGAAATACTTTCGAGAAAAGTATTTGAAATACTAGATACAAAATAGGTATCTTATAGATACTTTTTATAACTACAAATACTTTTCTAAAAAAAGATTTGAATTTAAGTTTGTTTATTAAAGACCACAAAAACCTAAATCTTAGACCAGGTTCCAGGGACAAAGTGGATTTTTTAAGCATTTTTTATTAGAAACAATTTTTGTAAGCTTTTATTTAGTTTTCTGTGTTTGTACTCAAATCTTACAAGCTAAATTTCACCCACTTTTCCTCCGTTTTATTTGTTTGTCAATCACAATGTAACATATAAAAATGCAAATATTTAATACATCAGGTTTAAATTATTTAAATTTTTTTAGTTCCTTTTTAATAATATTTTATTTTCAATATAGCATTGTGAATGAAAAATTGCTGAAATATAACAACAAGAATAATTATTTAAATTTAATTATAAAATTATTATTTATTTAAAAAGCTCGTTTTACGTACGACATAAAATTACGGAGAACTGAAAATTCATTTTTTCCTAGTGAGATGAAGAGAGTGGGTAAAAATAAATACAGTACTTGGTTTTTAAAATTAATGGCGTGACTTGTGACGAGGTGAATGTGCGATAGTATGTAAGGGAACGTATATTAACTTTTTTTGCAGAACTACCGAAAATTATGCCCCTTTAGTGTGTTAAGCTAATTTGAAAATTTTTAGTAAAAAATACTTAGCTTCTGTGGTTGATTATAGTACGTTGGTTTGTAGGAAAGGCTTATAATACGTAGATGTAAGTACCTAAAAAGACGTAGAGTTGGTATTGCTGGTACTGTTGGTAATGCGCCATTAGTTACCATCTGATCTGATGAAATTTCCGTTTTTAATAAAATAAATGAAGCTTTATTTTCTTATTTCTATTAATCAAAGTAATCACCCATGCAATCAATACATTTTTGCCAACGCATTGGTAGCTTAATGATGCCTTCTTGAAGAAATCAGCTGGAGGGAGGCAACAAATACTTCAAAGGCATTTTGTACTGCCTCTCGGGAATTTATTTTTTTCCCGCTAAGACGTTATCCAAATTTTGGAAGAATTAGTCTGTTGGCGCATGGTCTGTTAAGTACGGAGGATAACGGAGAACTTCAAACCCCAGCTCTTGTAGCTTGGGTACCGCCAATTGTGTAGTATGAGGTCGTACGTGGTCATGCAGGAGCAGTGAAACCGAACGATTGACAAAACCTGGTTGGAGTTGTGCCAGCTTCTCCGTCATTGTGTTCAGTTCTTCACAATACACACAGTAAATCTGCAGCAATGCTCGTCCTGTTTGGTAAGAAGCTGTGATGAAATAAATACATCCGCGTTAGACCACCAAACAGCAACCTTTTCGTAAACCAATAACGGGCAAACCAAAAACGGGTGGTGCGTTCGTTTGTAGTGTTCGCTCTGCAAACGTTGTAATGTTGCGTGCCGCTTTGCTACCACGATGGCACACATACTCCATAATTACCTACTCGAATTTTTAACTTATCCATGACGACGAAAAATATTCAAATGTATTGAAAACAAAACACTTACTATTGAACAAATGACGATTTTAGAAAAAATAATTTGATATTAGAATTATCAGCCAAAAAAAAAATAGTTTGATTTTAAATGGCTAGTACAGCAGAACGGCAATTACATAGGTAAAGACCTAATATTAAGACAGGACTCCGCCCATTTTTTTGTTGTTTTACTCAATAAAGATCCCTTGAATTAAATGGTTACTTATTAAAGCAAAATCTACTACCTATACGATTACATCACAGATTGTGTTGTATTTTTGAAAAATAAAGGAGTATTAATTGACGATGTCAAAGAAATTATTTGAAGAATTTTACTATTAACAAATTTATTGTTATGACGAATTAGTTGAAAAGCAGTGGGTAATTATTTTCAATATATGCAATGACAGCACTCGTTTCCGAACTACTGAAGATTTGTCAGTATTTTTTTGTATTATGCCTCATAATGCGAATATTGGTTTTTTTTTCGCTCATGAATATGCAGTGGTCAAAAGATAGAAAAAGATTAACTGTCGAGTCAATAAAAGCAATATTGCTTTGCTCACGGGATATAATTTCAAGCATTTGCCATGTATCGAATTTCACAGTGAAATTTCTTTAAAAATAAACTTTTTGAATGCTGTTGTTAGTGAAAAAAGTATAATGTGCAAAAAAATAAAAAAAATTGATAATGAGTTTAATTGATATACTGAGTTTTATTTATAGCATATAACCGGGTTTTTACATAAATCAAGATTTTTATTGCTTGTAACTGGTTATTCGATTTCAAGCCCTATGCGCCATCTATCAATTTTTACTAGGGAGGGTGTATTACACCGGTATAACTGTACGTTCAGTTCTACGCATTTACTTTTTAAATGACACCAAACAATGTTTGGATTCGAGTTATTTTTAACTAAATATTCATTGCGTTGATAATTGAACACTTTCTTTTTGTAAATATGTATGTTTTAGGCAAAGAATGTTTTGTAATATTTATAAAATGTAAGAAATAATCTTTTTATAAAGTATTTTATCAGAAAAAGTATTTAAAAGATACTAAGATACTAAACAAAAGTATTTAAATACAAGATACAAAATACTTCCTAAAAAAAGTATTTTAGATACAAGATGAAAATACGTATTTTGTATCTTGTATCTGTATTTCAAATACTTGTATCTAAGATAAGTCACATCTCTGTATCTTATATAATATGATGATGGTATAATAGTCAACTGGACATTCCTCTTCCACGTCCTGAATTTGAAGCAAGGCTCAAAAGCTCTTCAGCCCCGGTCCTACCCACAAAGAAACCCGCCCCCGCTTCTGACTCAATCAGACACATATTCAGCCGGTAAGACGGAAGATGATGATTTACGTATTTCCCGTCGTTAAAAAAAGTGTCGAGTACCCGAGAAAATTTAACTTTTCAATGTTTTTCAGTAAGATTTACAGCAGTGAATTAGTCAAAGTAGTCATAATAAAAAACGCTTTTAGGTAAAAACTTGTATTATTATTTGGTCATTGAGAGTCATTAAGTGCGTTGGGTTTCATCTCGCAGATGAACGCTAGAGGTAGGTTGCAGGGGACATCGTTCAAGAGGCCTGGTTTCCCGAACCTCAGGATGCTGCCGCAGTTCTCGCCTCCAATCGCGTCGTATTTGACATTGTTGGGCTCGTCTGGGGCCCAGTGTGCGTAACCTGCCTCATCCAGAGTTTGACCTAGAGATAAAGTAGATTATGTTTACATGATATGCTTACATATATATTGTTTCACTATGAATGAATATTATGAATACTGGACAAGAGAACTTAGATTGCTCAGATGTAAAATTAAGTAGCAAGCTTGAATTAATATATGTATACTGGCTTTATATGCAAGTGCGAGCATCCATAATAACGTCTTTAACATACTGTATGAAATTACAACTCCTGTACATTTGCCATATTGTGGTAACTCTTGTGCTGAGTGATTAATTGAATAAGATTTTAGATGTATTGAAGTTAGGTATTATGGTACTTTTATTATTCCCAATTTCCACAATCCAAGTGCTAACAGCTTTTTAATTTTCGATCTGAGTGATCAAGTATCTCACCGTGTACAGTCAGCCACATCGTGTGATCAGACCAATCTCTGAAGCCGATGGATGTTGACAAAGAGTTTGTCGTGGACAGGCTTTCTGGGGGGTTGCTATCCACCATCTGTTTCAGGATCTGAGCCTCCTCTTCACTGTTGATGATGGCCAGGTAGCCACCCTCCGCTGCACAGATCCCGTACGCACGCGTCCACGCGACTCCATCCCTGTGGAACTTATAACAACTGCCTGTACGTGGATTCAACTTGTAACCTGGAATAGAGATAACGCGTTTATTATATTTACTTATTTAGATATATCAACATCATATATAATTAACAATAACAGAATATTTATTAGCAATACAGTTCTAATTAATGTCGCAATTACGGTTTCATTTGGAAATTCAATTAAATCAACTCAAATTAAATTAAATCGAACTAAAACAAATCATATTTATAAATGTAAATTTTTTGTTAGACTTGTTTCGTCAATTCAATCGATCACTTTTAAAAACTATGCGAACTTAATTTTTTCCACAGGTAACAAAAGAAATTCTGCTATTGTAAATTCGGACATACATACAATCTGCCAATCAATATTAAACGTTTTTTATTCTTATGCCTTTAGAAAGCAAGGTATTTATCAAATCAGTTAATATTCCAAATAATTTTCGGAGCCTCGACATTCTGCCAACCGACAATATCAATCTGGTCTTGGGCAAAGTTCTTTGATTGGGAATATCGAAATGTTTATAATTAGAAATGTTAGAGTTAGTTCGTTATTTCATCAATTATATCTGGATATTATTTCCGACTCATCGCATCGATTTCTATTTTGTTTTCAACAAACGAACGCTTTCAAATAATCTCCTAAACAGCGAATACCATTGTTTATTTTTTTATAAATTGCTTACTTAAAGATCATAACTCTTTTATTTATTTAAACAAACTTTTTTTTAAAATCTACTAATAATATAATATGACATAATCTCTGCTTGAAAATATCTAATTTTGATTAATTTAATCATGTATTTACACCTACAATGTACAGTATCCCACAATAAAATGAAATACAGTAAAAATAAAACGAAATAGACAAATGTGAACTCAATAAAACGCTCACGGCTCGGAGAATTGAGCCAGAGTTATTAGGGTTGCTAACATTTCTTCAGCCAAATATATATAGTATTTTGAAGAAAATACAAAGAAAAATAAAAATATAAAGTACCTAGGTACTGTAACGTCCGTGCACATTGCTATAAGTTGGTTTACTCTCCGGAAGATTTATGGTCAATGCGGGCCGCTAATATTTTGAAATTTAAATTTTTTCGTGTTCGAATTCGCGCGGTATAGTTTGCTGGTTGATAATCTTTCTTTCTGATGGCAAAAATCATTGTAACCACTACTTACTATTTAATTTAAAGGATCATTAATGTCGTGATGATGAAATGAGCTCTCAGAAGTGATTCAGAAGTGTCTGCAATAATATATTGTTAGTACGAGTACATTTTATTTATCTACCTTGGTCAATAGTTCCGCATTCGTTGAGCACCAACTCCGCGGTCTTCTTCTTGTAGCAGACGTAGGAGTAGGTCTCGGTGCAGGGCACGTCAGCCATCGTGCCATTTTTAAGCATCACCAGACAGTCCTCGCCGTTACCATTGTTATCTGGCTCATCTGGCGCCCAAACTGTTCTTATCTTCGACAGGGGTATACCTGAGATAATTCATTTACTCAAAGATATCGATCCTAATATAAGGCTACATATAATTAAAATGAAAAGTTTTAAACCAATAAGTGTATTCGTGTAAAATGAATTTTAAAAATTATAAGATAGCAATAAAATCCAACTAGCTATGGATTATGTTCTGTCACATTTTTTATTCGTTTGAGATTATTAACTTAGTGGTCAATCTTTACAAATTCCAAACTAAACATTTGCGATTACACTTCTATGATCATAAACTAATCATATAGAAAAATGTGTACATAAAAAACTTCAAATTAAGGTATTAAATAATTGAAAAACCGAACCTCTTTAGTTTAATCTTGTAGTAGTGATGTTTATTACTAAAATCTTTACATATTTATATATACACATTAATTTATACATGGTAAAAACATAGTCTCTTCCCGCTCTCTATGCGCTAAGATCTTTTAGACTACAGTGTGTGAGATAGAGTGATTCAAGAGAAAGGTATATATTTATCAGGGCCACATCATCAGCCCTTTTACGTCCCCACTGCAGGGGCTCAGGCCTTCCTTATGGATGGTTAAGGAGGATGGGCCATGACCCTCCACGCTGGCCCAATGCGGATTGGAGGGTAAATCAGGGCCACGCTAGTTTGTAATAGGACAGATTTAGATTTAATTTAGTATTAAGTGTTGTATCAACTCCAAAATCACCTTCTATTGAAGTGAAAGCTCCTTTGGATATAGTCGCGTGTATTCCCGTGATGAGGGCGCAGGAATCGCTCTTGGAAGACACGTGAAGTTGTATCATCGCCTCCCGGAGGTTATCGGTCAAAGGTGACGCCAGGACACCGCCTGAATATTATTAACCATATTTAATCTATCATAATTATAACAGTGCAGGAAATTTGAATTGTAAAAATAATATTCTCTCGGTCAGTTGCACAGACGTCCGTTACGGTTTAAAATGAATGAATGGATGTAAAATTTGTATCGATAATGTCGGTTTAAACTAATGACAATTTTAATGGACGTTTGTACAGCTGGCTGTTCGTCTATTTGAAGATACGAAAAGCAAGCTTTTCTGGGGTGTAAGGATACAACTTAGCGAATATTGTTCATTTCATTTCTTTGACATGACTTTTGGTGGTTTTGGTGGAAATAAATGACTAAGTTGGAAACACTGCTGTCAAATCCACAACATCATTCTTTATTATTCATTATGAACTACTTATCAAAGTAGAAAAAGGAAATGAAATAGCGCTACAGTATCCTATCACTACAGTTATGGCTAGACAAGTAATAATAATAATATAATAATAATATGTTTATTTCTGCATAAATATGGAAAGTATAAGATGTTACAATAAATTTTCTAGTTAATTGGCATGCAGAAGAAATTATAACAATTAAGGAATTACAATAATAATCATAAAATTAATCAAATGTCAATTAAATTTCATCAACGTAAAAGTAAGATTTAAAAAATGTCATATACAACACAATAATAGTAGTTTAATAATTCATCATTTTGAGATAATATGTCAACATTTATATTCAAAATATTCCTTTAAGCTATAAAAACATTTCGCCGTAAGCCATTCTTTTAACTCAGACTTGAATATACTAAGACTGACGTTTTTAGATTTTATTGGCAGCTTATTAAAAATTTTGATTGCCATAGGATAAGTACTTTTTTGCCGCATTTCCGTTTTTATCAAAGGTCAAAATTTGTGGATATCTAGTGGTAAACTTACGAAGAATATCATCATAACGTTCGAAAAAGTGCGGATTATTCCTAACGAAAACACATATTTCATAAATGTATAAGCGTTAGTATTTTTAAGATTTTAAAAAGTGGTCTACATGATACCATATTTTTTACGTCACATGTGTAAGACGATCGCTCTTCGTCCTAGTTCTGATTTGAGCTTACATGGATCGTTTCAACAAAAAAAAAGTTAAAATCAAAGAACATATTGGCAAATGAAATATTGTCGGAATTGTCTGAAGCAAGAAGAAATTTTACTCGTTCAACTTTTTTTGCAATTTACATTAGTTTGACTTACTTGAAGGTTATTTCACATTCATGATATTGCATTGTAATGCAATGTCATTAAATAAACAGTTCTTTTATGCTGGGTTTTTGATGGAAATGGGAAACTATTGTAATGTTTGGTACCTTCAGCTTTGCACGTTCGAAATGCATTCTGGAACGTGGCCGGTATCTCGTGCATCTTCAACCAACCGCCTGCTTTCTCGTCATACGAATAGTCGAACCGGAACTGGCTGCCCACTATTCAAACAATGTCTGTCCATAATTAATAATATCTAAAAGCCATGTGGAATGTACACAAGACAGAACAGTGGGTTACTACAAAATGGAAAATTTCTACCATTAAATTTGGACCTAGATTAGATAGCAAAAAGACTTGAAATCGTTTGGAGATTACCTATAATTAAATTATATTTTTTTCTAATCTTCATTATTAAATGCATGGTTTGAACCTAAATAAAATTGCATATTTTCAATTTAGAATAATTTAAGAAATAACTAAAATAAATGTCACTAGATGGCGCTACTATATTTTAACACATTTCTGTTGTCAGTTATTTACCGTAAACAATGCATAACATTTTTTAAGGACGACATTTTTATTCCTCTGCTTAATATTAAATGAACTGTTTTTTTTACGATTCCATAACTAAAAAAGAAAAAATGGAAGCCTTTTAGGGTCACTAGTTGCCCAATTGTCTATTTGTCTGTCAAGACCCTTAATATCAGGAAACCCTAATATCGAGTTAAAATTAAAAGTATGTAATTACCAAAGTATACAAGGTCAAGGTCCGTTAAAGCTGCGAAAAAATAAAACTTAAATAAAGATACGGCCGTTTATGGCGCAAAATATGCATCTTTCGACACTCTCGACACTCGATTGATAGGGCACTTCCCGTTGACCTAGAACTATGAAATTTGACTAGTAACATCTTTTTGTAGTATAAGGTAAAATCAGAAAAATATATTTGTAATTAAATCCTTAAAAATGAAGTCCTATCGGTGGTCGCAAATTAATTGAAATTCTGTATAAGTGAAATATCTTATGAAAGGGCTTGATGTGAAATATTTCAAAATAAATTTTGATGAATTCCAGAACACTTTATAACCTACTAGTGGCCGCCAGCGACTTCGTCCGCGATTTCCATTATTTCTTCACTCCTCATAGTTGCAGCGTGACGTTTTATAGCCTAAAGCCTTCATCGATAAATGATCTATTCAACACAAAAATAATTTTTCTATTCGAACCAGTAGTTCCTGAGATTAGCGCGTTCAAACAAACAAACAAACTCTTCAGCTTTATAATATTAGTATAGATGAAGTACGGAACCCGCCTGTCTGGAATTAGTCCGGTTTTTTAGTGATTTATTAGTCTGGGCGCCCTTTTAAATATTATTTCACATTTTGATTTGAGGTATAGTTTTTACGCAGGTTTTATTTATAAAATATAATTGAACGAAGCGATGGCTAGCTCATGCGTCATGCTCGTGCACTGCTAGTGGGAATGAGTCTGCTCTGGCCTACTTACTCTTGTTCATTTTCTTTTATTATGCATTTAATATGACTTTAACGCATAATAAGAGAAAAAATTATCAATGACTTTATTTGACACGACTTGTGAATGGCTTGAATTTTTTTCTCTTTATTTTTAATATAATTATGGGAAATGACTGCATAGTCTAAAGAAGTCATTTTTCAATTTAACATCTCAGAATAAAATAAAATATGGAGACAAAAGCAGGCCTTGATTATCGATTCTTTTCGATACAAGGTCTACCCTGGTAAATCGTAAATCTACCAAGATTTACGAACCGATAGCATAGTTTTAACTTTCTCGAGTGCTTGTTATAAAAAGCCTACCCTGAATAAATGATTTGATTTATTATTAAGATACTAATAATGCTTTATAATATGTAAATGCAAATAATATGTTGCTATAACAACAAACTTCGGAAATAACTCTCACTAAAAATTAATTCTAACTAAAAATAGTACATGTATCTATACCTGTCAGTAGTGTGGCTAAAACTAAAAATACGGCGGGAATTTCCATTTTCATCACTACAACTATATCTAACAGTTTATCCACAGTTCACTTTTAAAAACAATGTAAAGCTTTAATTAATATTTATGTTTAAAAAAAAAGATTTTTATTAACACTTCACATGGTTAAAAACCACAAGCCGGTGGCAAACTGGTTTTTAAAATGTTCACAGTAACATTTTACTTCATACTCCTCTGTGCGAAGGTTAGCTTCTATCTCGCTCGCTCTTCTTTGGACATCCATTCAACGTCATATATTTGACTTTAATTAATTAATGGTAAGGTTGTTATTATACTTAACACGTTTGAAATCGAAGATGATCTATTAACCGGCTAATTTAAGATGGGCTCATAATATCGGATTCGTGTTTTGTATGAATGTAATATGTAAGATTTTATGAAACATATTCAAAGCTTTACGAAAAATATACTACTGTGAAATAACGACAACAAAAGTAATTAATTAAATATTTATTTTACACAACCAGATAAAGTTTGAGCAACGAATATCGTTGAACTAAAATTGAATAAATCTTTATTGCGTTCTAATAACAAATATTCATGGGCATTTAAAATGGATATGTTAAACAAGTGATATTTTAGAAGCAAAAGGGCAAATTAAAAGATTGAATTGTTTTTCTAGATATTTTTTATTAATTCAGTTTTTTTTTGTGCTTTGGGACCTCGGTAGGGCCGTAGCCGCAGCGCGATGAGAGGGGATGCAACCCGTCGACCGGCTGGACGCTCCCTGTCTGCCCTTCGGGGTTGATACAGGGACTAATGATGCTGGTCTTCTGTGGCGCATCGTCCTACGGGGGGGGGGGGGATCCACGATAAGGATCCTCCCAACACGATGGGTAGGGGACTGGAGATTGCACAGTTGCGCATCTCTGCGCGTCTCTGGTCTCTAGTTAGGGGCAGCTGGCCGGTTCGCGCACCGGCCGGCATTGCACGATCCTGCCTCGTCATGGGGGTGCGTCTCGAATGTCTCTGATGCGTACCCCCAACCCGAGCGGGACATGCCCTTTTCAGGGCAGGCCGAAATGGGGGCGAACCCCGCGCAGGATGAAGCGGGTATGCGTAACGCATTTCTCAGGGTCAAAAAAAAAAGTTTTTGTGCTTTCACTTAGAAATATAGTATACTCTTCTCAATTTTAACTTATTTAATCTCCAGTCAATCAAATAGCGTTAAACGCATGAAGGTTTTAGGTGTCGTATGTGTTGTTTTATAAATGTACATTACAAAATTTTGTCAAGTAGACAACGCTGCGAGAGGTTACTCCTTTGTCGATTTGACATCATCGCCATCTTTCATTCATTTCATTTTCATTTTATATGTAGAAATTTATTCACTTGACATTGGCAGAATTGTGCGAAATGCGCAGATAAGCCATTAATAAAAAAAGAAGAACTCCTTTGTCACATTTGACAATGATCGGTTATCAATGGAAACTTATACGGTTTGGGTTTTTATATAGGTTGTTTAGGTTCAAATAAATTAAACAAGTTTAAAATATATTTATTACGATGATGAGCACGATGGTGAAGAATTTCTCGCAAAGGCCGGTCATAGGATGGGTGAGCAAAACTTGAATACCTTGCTTACTCTTAAGTGCTTCAGAAGGCATGTCGGTTCCAGTAATACCTAAACGTCTTGACACTCATTTCTCACATCTGAAACGAAGTTGTGAAAGCCTTAGTTTGGAATTTGGGAATAACGGCCGTATCACAACCATCAAGACACACGTTAACACGACCAGGAATCTAACCCGCGATGACATTGAAAATTGCGCGCAAGCCGCTCGACCACTGTGAAAATGTATTACCGGTAGAAAGGGACCCTCCATTAATCACGTGATGATATTTCAGCATTTTTAACCCCCCCCCCTCCCCCCTCGGTGATACATGATCTTCCTAAATCACATTTAGTACCTACAAAAAATCTTAATTTTTGACGCCGCTTTTAGGTTTGGTAATCGCGCGTTTGAAGAAAAAATGCATCCCCCTATGGATATTTAGTGATTTTTACGAACTCCCTCCCCCCTTTCGAGGCTCACGTGATTAATGGACGGCCCCAAAGGATATCAATCAATACAACTTTGTTAACATAATTTCAGAAACAAAATGTAATGAGTCATAGAAAATTGATTTGGTAAATTTTATATGATGGTTAATCCAAATCCCAAAACCGCATAATTCGTAATCACGGAACGAAACGTAAACATAAATTTAGACGGGCGATAACCATTAATGATCATATGATTATAAGAAATAATCCCTTTAAAGTATATATGAAAAAACAGTAGTTATAATTATTTTCCTTCCCTCTATACATATAAATAACACACCTATTTGGCTGTTTTGTTTCATACACCATAGTATGTTTGAAAATATAGCACTGTTTAGTTGCTTTATAATTCTATGAAATATTGAAGGTAGGTAAAATAGTTTAACTATTGTGTTATTTATATAAATTAATTGTTGGACGTCAATCGATGAGGGAGCGAGACAGTTGCGATGGACACATTGGTCAGATGAAGACGTGTGTGCATGACCAGTTTGAGAACCAGTTCCGTCAGATACAGATGGTTTTTTTTTATATTAAGAATTCAATATCTTACGCGAATTTAGTATGTTTCTAAATTGTCAGCAGTGTTAAGTGATTAATTGTAAATAATTTTAGGATCGAAAATGAGTAAAACTTTATATGTGTTCGGATACTTACTCGCGACAATAGCCACAGGTATGATTGAGACATGTTGTAAAGGGTTATTTTGCGATAGCACTTCCAGTGAGGTCATTGCGTGTCAAGTTTATTGATAAAACTGTAGGTTTCAACAAGTTCAACGACAGATGGCGTTGTAACATTAATGACATCAATCTTCGAATGTAAACAAAAACTATAGTTATGTGATAACATTTTCCTGGTACGACCACAAAGACATTGAATAATAATAGATTTAATAACATCCATCGGAAATTCAGTGGGGTAATCTTATGATGTCATTGTAGATTTGGAAGTCTATTTTGATGTAATGCATGACTTTAAATATTTATAAATTACTAACTGATCAATAACCGAGAGGGTCATTTCTGGGTAGAAGTTATGTTTAGTATACAGAAAGCTAATTTTCATTTGTTTAAGATTTCTCTTCAAATATTTCCTCGCTATTTTGCGACATGCTGGTGTCAATTCTTGTGTTTTTACAACTGAAAACGCATTTCAACATGTCTAAACTTAAATTTAATCTAGTGTTCGCTACAGAATTGCTAACAGTATAGTTTATGTGTATACCTATGTCATCGTTATCAGTTCTATTACATCTGATAGCCTTATGAGAGATTAAGTAGGATGGGCCGTGACCCTCTGGCCCAATTGGAGGGTATTAACGACTGCAAATACAACCGGGATCAACGACTTAACGTGCTTTCCGAAGCACGGACTAGCTCGAGAAATTCTTTTTGGTCACGCATCCCGTGCCCGACCCTTGCGAAAGTTGCTTAACAACAACAATCTAGGGCCGCGGTTATTATCCACTACACTGCCGAGCTACTAAATGTGCTATCAGTGAAAAAAGCTTCTACTAAAACACTATTTATCTGTTATAATTACATTAAAGCTGCACACGTAGCACGGTGAACTCCAGAACTTTTTGCCTACACCCAATTGTCACTTTTCTCGGTACGATACAATTCCCATACGATATCTCACTCTCGGCCCGAGAAAAGTGACATTTGGTGAAGACAAAGCGTTTCTCGAGTTTGCCATTCCACGCTTGCTGGTTAGTAGGGGAAGTTTGGCACCATTCGTACACGGGGAACCTTCATACAGTCACTACTACATCTTGTAGAAAAGTCTATTTATTACGACTTTATGTCAGTGGATAGGCGCCGGCGACTGCCAGTTGTCCACGAAGTTAGCCACACATGCAGCTACTGCAAGCGAAACTAGAGAACTTAAAGTGTTTTGGCATGCTCTTAGTAAATACTTTGTTAATGTTTTTGGATCTTCCGTGCTTTAATTACACGTCAAATTTTACTGGATTATTGCTTAATCGTAAGTGAATACGATTAAGATAATAATAATATATCTATTATGTGTATTTTTCAACGTGGGTTTTGTGTTAGAAAAAAAAATTATTCTTGATCTTCGGGGCACGTTTGTACATTTCCAGTAAGGGCACATTCGTACGCGTATGTATGTACCCCCTAACCCCCTGTGTGCTAACAATTTTTATTATTATATAAGAAAATTTAGCAAAAATGATCGGAATTTTAAGAAGAAAAGGCAGACACGTTCCCAATATTCATTAAATGAGTTTTTTTGCGTCTGTAAAAGTTGTTTTTATATAGTAAAAAGAAATAGTTTTACTAAAAAGACTAATCAATTGAAAAAGTTAAAAACACATTACGGAATCACGATATTGCTATCAAATGATTATGATAAAGTTTTGAAATATAAATGTTTAACAAAATTGTTATGAAACTGGCTTCGCTGATATAGAATGGATGCACGGTTTTCGTAAAAAGATAGCTAAACTCTAAACGACATACAGGCATATGTCGTTTAGTTTATTACATCGTTGATAAGTTTGAGATCAATGAAAACGATATTTTTTAATTAATTTGTTATTTTACTGAAGTTACCACACTGTCTGAATGTTCCCCGGCCCATGTACGATTGTACCCCGTAATAGGGGTAGATTCGGACATTCATAAGCTTTTAGTAAAATTCAATCCTTTGATATATTATACAAGATATTAGCTTTGAACTTTTTAAATAAGGAGCAGAAAGTATGCTTTATGTTTTAATAAGTAATTGAGTAATTTATCTTTGATTATCAATATTTTAAAAATCATTGACTTAAAAGTGTACGAGTGGTGCCAATCTTCCCCTACCATAAGCTGGATCAACTACATATCTAAGTACTAAGGAAAACAATATGGTGGGTGGGAAAAATATAAAACGAAGTAAGTAGCTACCAAAAGAAATACCTTTCAACTTGGTTTGTCGTGATTGAAGATGAAAGTTGAAAGAGAAAGAAGATGAAAAATGAACAATTTTAAAAGTTTTAATCTAATCATTGAACATTTTAATTATAATGTCGGAGGCTTAGGAAGTTTTATTGAAATATCTTTTGGAGCTTGTTAATTTATAGGCTTATTCTTTTTTTTTAATTAAATATACTACAAAAAAGAGAAACTTTTCAATTCGTTGAATGTTTTTCGTATGTTCAGACGACATCACCTCTAGATGACTATAAAATTACTTGGTAAGGTTTCTTACTGGTCGTATTTATAACAGAAGATTTTTTTTATATTTTCTTAAACCCCCAAATATATAAATTAGGTAAATAAATTAGGAATAAGAATAAATTACGTAAATGTAACAACTTTGAAACGGTTTTAATTTAGATCACATAAGATATAAATTACTGTAACGACATATTCATTCCCTTGGATGACATCGCTATTGTACTATACGTACTGTTGCTGAACGGATTTTAATGAATTTTCAAAAGGAAAATTTCGGAAGTATGCTCTATCAAACTATCAACTAAAAAGTACATTAGGATCAGTTTAGAAAACAACAAGTTGTGGTCGGATATAAAAACAAAATACCTGCAGAGGAATTAAGATCCTCTTTTTTGAAATCGGTAAAAAACGTCTATGAAATTCATTTTGTTTTGTATAGCCGTATCTTATGTACTAATACTAGATTATTATATTCACTCTTTGACACAAGTTTCACAATTATAAAGACTGATTAATTTGTTTGTTTGTATATAAAAAAACCAGCCAAGTTTGAGAATTAAAGTTCACTTAAATACTGTATTTGTCCTCGAACGGAAATTCGGAAAATGTCGAATCGTTCTTATAATTTTGATAAGACTAATGAAGATTATCTGTGCATCTGAGCCAGTGTCAGGTCTTACCTCGCAAATTAGTCGCAATAACATTTGGGAAATATACGAAATTTATTTTTTGAAGAAATAGAAGGCGCCTTTGGGTGTCATGTTAATTCTTATGAGTAATAAATAATATTAATAGTAAATTTTCTGTATTTATAGTGGCCAGTCAGTTTCGCTTCGATTACACATACAATGTGAAAGCTGGTGGTTGGCTGAAGCTACACGTGGTGCCTGCAACATTCCATGATGCATTCAAGAGGTGCAACGCCGAAGGTATTACATGAAAAATTTTAACTTACCATATTTGCAGATCTGTATTTTACACTCTTAAGGTGAACGTCCATCTGTCAGCACGCACGCACCGGCCGCACTACACGCAACAGATTAAATTCACAATAGGGATGATGACTGGGTAAAAAAAATGCAATTCTATTTAGTCCGCCAGATAATAGAAAAATATTAGATACGTATTTTTTTTTACTTCAATTTAACAAGAAATAGCTTAGATAACAGGCATTCAAGTTGAGGAGTGAGGGCTCGCTAGTCACAGTTGAGTAGAAAACGTACTCTAACGTGACGTTATGCGAAATTTCAACTCAATGTAACGCCGTAATTTTATGATTACGGAAAAAATAAAAAAAAATACGTGTTTAATATTTTTTACCACTCTACCTGACGGACAAACAAACAAAAATTAGTCATCATCCCTATTCCTATAACGTCATCAGCATTATTACGACGTCAAAACTGATGGCCAGTTTCTGCTTGAGAAAAGTACAAAATCTCAACAGGTTATTCTCGATAACTTGGAGTTTTTACGTTTCCCAAGGCAAAAAGTCCTAGTTTTATCAAACTGCTACTAACTGATCAATAAAAAAATTTAAATCAAAAACGAAAACTTGTTTAAGTGATGTTTTAAATGGTTAAGTACGGCTTGAGACGTGCTTAACTTAAAATTCTCAATTCAGAAACCAGTGGACTAATGACATCGACAACTCCGTGCGTTGCGTGTTGTGCGGCAAGTGCGTGCGTAATATGGAAGTGGACTGATCTATCGAAATATATAAAAGTTCCAGATGGTTGAATTACCTTATAAGTTAACTGTTATATATTACATAATACAGTAAATGTATTATAATAATAATAAGCGACATCACGTGAAATGAGCATTAACTGAGATTCTATATAAAGTAGAGCAACAAAACACATATTACAAAATTTAAAAGAATGAAGTTTACACAGTACTCATACCCGTGACAGTATATGTAAACGAGTTCATTTTATACATTAACCCGACCGAATATTAGAACCTGGGCCCTCAGAGTTGGCGACACCTGGAATCTGGTCCTATAGATTAAAAACAAAAAGGATATTTAACTAAATAGTGACAATAATAGTTCTAATATCTTGTATAACTTGGAAAAAACCCAAAGAGTAAAATGAAAGATGCATACACCTATGCGATAGAAAATGGCTAAGAAGACGAAGATACCAATTCAAAGCAAATACTTAAATTTCTTAAAAAACAACATATTTATTTTAAATATCGTTTATTTTAATTATAGAATATCTATTTATTTTTTTAAAGATTGTATGTTAATTTAGTTGTAGTGATACGTTTCTTTTTTTATTCGATATAGGTTAATGTATGAATTTTAGTTTGCAATTTACAACAGAATATTTTTATTTGCCTTGATTTGTTTATATATTTTTTTTTATTTTAACTGAACTTATCAATCCTTTTTTAACTTGTATTACATATCCAATTGCGGTCCAATACTGTTGTAGTCAAATTATGCAATAACAACTGCAATGCAAATTAAAAGTACATGTACACAGTAAAGCGATAAAATATATTCTATTCTGAACTCTCAGGGCAATGCGAATGAGAAGAACTTCACCTTTATCACTCGATTGACTCTTCTCAGGTGCAGTTCTAGCGTCACCACTAAACATTTACCTTAAGAATGCGATGACGAATTTACACAAGAAAACAAACAGTGACGCCTGCGGCTTATACACCGGGATACATGCTACTATCTCTAAAGGATCTTACACGTCTATCGAGGGTAAGGCCAGATAGCTACGGTGAATATTGTTCTGTTACCCCGTCAGGTACGGAGCTCTAGTTAACACAGCTTTAATTTAGAAACAGTATGAGCTAAAATTAATATATCCTTTCAATGTAATAGTTTTAATAAATTCTTGTCCCAGAGTAAATTCTCTTACATTAGATCCATTCTCTTAATAAACTTATATATGGTTATGAATTTTGAGGTATTATTTATTACATTTATTTAAAACGTAAGCCCTATTTTGTAATTGTAATTTTTTCGACTGTAATTGTCAGCTCTATGCTTACGTAAACATTGGTTAATTTAAATTTGAGGAAAAACATTAATAACCCATAAATATTGCTGACGTTACTTCCAGAGAATTTCTAGCAATCTAGCTAAATACTATCTGCTAAGAAGTAAATGGACATGTCCTTTGATTAGCCAAGATAAACAAGCAAATAATTCACATAGCTTTGATATCAGCTTCGATCTCAATCTGGCTAAGGAATTGTGATAATATATAAATAAATGTTTTGCTTACAGGAGTCCCTCTGTCGAGGATACCTACTACTTGGGCTCCCGATGAGCCTGACAACTATAACAATACCGAGGATTGTATAGTGATACTGCATAATGGCACCATGGCTGACGTGCGGTGCTCCGAGACTTTCCCTTACGTCTGCTACAGGAAGAAGACCAAGAATTTGGTTATCAATGACTGCGGCACTATTGACAACGGTATGTCTTAGATTCCAATGCTCACAGAATGGCTTGTAATGTGACATATGACTCTTACAGAAAATAGAAACGAAAGATTGCTTCATTTGGCGATGCAGTGTGAAGATATATGATAAAATAGTATATTAAATGCTTTTCCTCAATCCGTTTATTCCTTTCCAGAATACATATTGGATCACAGAACCGGCAATTGTTACAAGTTCCACAAAGTCGGCAAGAGTTGGAAGAATGCTTACATGACGTGCATCGCTGAAGGTGGTCACCTCGCGGTCATCAACAGTGCTACAGAAGTTGAAGTTATCAAGGACGTGTTCGCCAGGGTGCCAGCTAAAGATATTTTCTCTAAATATAAAGATATCGCTAACGTCGGATATTACGATTGGGGCGAGTTTGGTGTATTCTATACTGTACATGGTGAGTACACTGGAAACAGAATAATATTTACTAGCTGGTGTTTTTGCCTAAAACGCCTAGTGGATTTTGAAAACTTTATTGATAAAAAAATATATATAATATTTGCAATGGATTATAGCCTTACAGCACATTAGCTTTCAAAAACAGTAGATATCATTACACAGTTGTTTTTTATTAAGTAAAATATAAGCTAACAACAATTAAGATTAATAATAACATAGTAAATGCTTTATCAAATATGGTTATAAATTCCTGTTTTGTTTCAACTGTACAGGAAAAATTTTGATATTATTAAAATACACTAACATATATCTTAATAGCGGCTCTAAATGGTATTTATAATCTTTAATTAACCACAATAGTTATTGTTTTTGCTGTACCTTTTGTGTAGGCGTGTAATTAAATACAGGAAGTTAACCTTGATTAGATTTTTTGAAAATTCTTGTTATTTTACTGATCTTGACCACAAAGTATGTAAACACAATGTGTTGTTAGCCTTGTTAGGACTTTGAGGAATTCATATAATTATATCAAATGCTAATAATGTGACAGGAAACAAACAATAATATTAACATAGGTATATTTTACTAAGATTATAATTACACATGTGTAAACTTGCTAAACTTTTGCAGGGTGACACATGAATAAATAATTGTACCTAACAACTTTATACTTTGTGACATGCAAATTAAATGTTGCAATATAAAAATTAAATATCAGCTCTGCTATTCTGTTAAAAACTATCATAAAACTAATTTACTTTTAAAATAAGTTTAATTTGAAAAAAACATCGAGGATATTTCGATAACAGCACCGCTGGTTATGTATATTCTTAAAACTCTGCTAAGTCTGAGAGGTTATTTCGATAACAGAATAACAGCACCGCTGGTTATGTATATTCGTAAAACTCTGTGAGTAAGATCGATTGATTGAGCGACTAGTTAATCATCTATAATAATATTTTACAGAGGAGAGACTATAAAAAAAAAACTTTCACCTGCTTATCCGCAACTTTACCCGCGTAAATATATCATCTGCGTTTGATTAATTCTTGTTAAAACACAAATAAATTATTATTTTTTCTTTCTTCCATCAAATAAATAAATATTTCCTAATTTTATAATCATCAGTATTAACATTATAATCTCAAAAATTTCATAGGACCACATGGTTAAGTCATAAGTTATTCGACATCAGAAAAATCGTTTCCAATTTATTATATGTCAGTCCGAGGTGAAAATATATTTTGACTATACTATTACAAAGGCTTCTAGTAGAGCTCTTTGTACTTTACATATGTTTTTATTTTCAGGTGAAACGCTAAAAGAAGCGGGCTATTCCAAATTCGGTGAAGGAAACCCTGACAATTCCAGGAACACAGACGGGGATTACATCTGCGGGGCGGTCGCCAGGGACGGACTCTACTACGACGTGTGGTGCAACTTAGACATAGCACCCTTCATATGCGAGAAGAAACCTGAAAGCTTACTCAATGACGAGGAATAGTGATGTGTTAATAATTAGTATCTTTAAGTAATTACAATTATGAAATTTATTATATTTCTTTTTCTTGCTATGAACCTTAGTGAATTTAAAATTATCTTATAGAAAAATAATTTAAAAAATTCAACAGTACCCTGAGATGGGATTCGAACTAGACATGCGCCTGAAATGTATTGAACATTGAGCGATTTATTATATTAAAATAAATTAATTTTTGCATTGAAAATGGAATGAATGAATGATGGCGATTCCTTTCCTTATTTTTTTTTTATTTATTTTGAATTTCGAAACCTTTCTTTTATTTTGGATCTCCTTTTACTTCAAATGATTTACGGAGTTATAGGTAATCAGACCGGATCCTTTTAAGGGGAGGTCATTTACAATTATTTTCACCTCACATTATGGTTATATAAACATTTCAAATTGGACCGATATCGATCCATATCCGGACATGGTTCCTGGAACTATTACAGTCCGGAACTACTCATGTCTACATCCTAGAATATTCTAGGTCCTAACCTAGAATATTGTAGACGTAAGACAAAGACTTTAGAAACGCGGTGAACTAGCCGTTCCGGTATTCTTTTAGTGACTAGTGAACTGAATAGGAAAGCGATAACTAGTGAGGTGAACTATCCGGACGATCTATAGTCTTGGGACGTGACGTGAATAGTGGAGTTAAAGTATGAGTTTTGTTGTTCGTTTATTTTTGTAATTTTGTTGGTTAAATAAAGTCGGATTGTGAATTAAATTGGCGTTCATTTATTTTTTAGAGCGTAACATTTCATATTCAATAATAGTTCCCGCTAGGTGGCGTAGTGGATAAGCGCCGCGGCCCACGATCGTAGTCATTAAGTAACTTTCGCAAGGGTCGGTCACGGAATGGGTGACCAAAAAGTTATTATCTCGAGCTACTCCTTGCTTCCGAAGACATGTTAAGCCGATGGTCCCGGCTGCTTTTGTAGTCGTTAATACCCTCCAATCGGCATTGGGCCAGCGTGGAGGGTCATGGCCCATCCCCCTTCCATAAGGAAGGCTTGAGCCCCTGCAGTGGAGACGTAAAAGGGCTGGTGATGATAAAAAACATAAGTAGACACAAACAATTTCCATATAAAATTCTACCAATTATCCTTAACATACTGTATAAACATCAACCAAAAATTGTAAATATCGTAAGTTATACAATCTTACCAGAATTATTTAAATCTTACTTACCCTACCTAAATCTATATCAGCTTTTAATCTAACGGGTCAGATTATAACCTGACAATGTTTAGAATTTACGTTGACATATACAAGACTATCAAGTGTAATCCAACAAAAGCACCCTGGTTTAATAATGCAGAAATGAGACAGACAAATGTTAGTCACATATATGAGATTGCGTCCCGAGTCCAGTCCATGCACATTGCAGTGAATACATTTACTCATCTAATGAAAGTATTGGACTATCCCTATTGTACTGCATGAGGTGTTGAGAAGATACCTGAATGTAATTCGGTAAAACAAGTAATGTAAATAAATCTTAAGAGGTGTAGGCTAATGATAGCATTATAGATTACTTTATTTATATTAAGTAATATAGATTACTTTATTACATACTTCATTTAAGATATAAGAGTTGGTTTCAACTTGTCGGATATCGGATCTGAATATTAATCGGATGCAGGTGACTGTGTTAACACATCGGTTAATAATCGGTTTATAAAGCCTAGCGAGATCCATTAAGTCTTTTTAATGGTTTAGAGGGCTAGCAAAACACACGACATTTACTGTCAGTATAAGTGTAAATAGCTCCGATTAATATACGGATCCGACACCCGACAAGTGGGAAACTAACTCTTAGGAAAAAATCTCTAAAAATATGATAATATCAATTGATAGTTTATTTTTCCCCGAGTAAGATGAAGCGGTGCATTGAACGGACGATTATCAGCAGCGTACAATAGCACCATCCCCTCTCGTCACGTGTGTGTCGCACGACCTGGCAAAGGAAAGATAGCCTTTAAGACACGGGCAGCAATGTCTCCTCAGATCTTTGGGACACGACGACGGAAAACCCGCCTGTCGATCGAGGCGTTTATGCCATATTATACATATGCCTCAATATAACCCACCAATGCGGGTGACCTGATAAAGGTTGTGGGAACAGAAAAGGACCGATCACTGTGGAGCTCCATGGGAAGCCTGTGTGTTAGAGGGAGATTAAACAGCGGTTTCTATGAACTAATAACGTTTTATTATATAAGTATAAATATTCATATTTTAATTTAATGACACCACAAATCGACAGACGTTTTCAATTCATACTACACTATGGTATGTATTAGCGATGATCTACGGAGGTCGAATATCGTGCCTTGCTGGTTGACTACCAACACTCCTCCTCAGAAAGCAGGATAGAGGATAGTTTCTCCTCCTATGGCTTTTATTCACTGAGCCCAATCATCGCTCTCAGACGGAAAATTCTCGGCCCTGATAAACCTTTGGTCAAAGGATCAGCTTCGTTTTCTTCAGTCCTTATGAATTTAAGCTCTATCTTCTTCTCGGAAACACAGTCTCTTATAAAATGAACCTTCATATCAATGTGCTTCGATTTCGAGCTTACCATTGGATTTGTTCCAAGTTTTATAGCTGCTTGATTATCGCAATGTATTGTTATGGGCTTCTCTTGCCGTAAATGCAAGCTTTTGTGAATTAAACACAAGTGGATTGCCTCTTTAGCAGCTTCCGTTAATGAGACATATTCGGCTTCAGCCGTAGATAGTGCTACTGCACGCTGTTTTCGAGATGCCCAGCTGATTGCTGCTCCCGCGTATTTAAAAATATATCCTGAAAAGGATTTCCTATCTTCTTTGCAGGCAGCCCAATCGGCGTCGGCCATTCCGAACAAATCTATATTCGTCTTTTGGTATTGCAGTCCCATGCTCTTAGTCCCTTTTAAGTACCTTAGTACTTTTTTGGCACATTTAAAATGCTCCTCTCCGTAACAATCATTGTATTGCGATAGATAACTGACCGCAAACATTATATCTGGTCTTGTAGCAATTGCAAGATACATAAGTTTACCGATTAGATTTTTATACGGTAGGTTATCCCCCTCTTTCTTGGGATTCTTCATGAGACAGATACCAGGTTCTATTGGCGTCTTTGATGCTTTGCATTCAGCCATGCCAAATATCTTGAGTGTTTTCTCAATATATGCCTCTTGGCATAGTTTGATACCTTCGTCATTGTATATGAAATCAATTCCGAGGAGTCTTTTGGGTTTGCCCATATCTTTTAACTCAAACTGTTTTGACAACAACCTTTTTATATGTTTAGCGGTTTCAGGATTTGAGTAAGCCATCAAAATGTCATCTACGTAGATTGTAATGACTGTTTTATCTCCTCCTTTAATTGATATGTACAGACATGGATCAGCAGATGAAGTTTCGAAGCCAATCTTTCTAAGTTCAGTGTCTAGTCTTTTAAACCACTGACGTCCTGACTGCTTTAATCCATATAGCGCTCTTTCTAGTAAACAGGCTTTGTCACCTTTTATACCTTTCAGATCTTCGAGCATTTTTCTAGCTTTATTATATACAGTCAGATCTTCTTTATCTATTTCATCTATCATCACCTCTGATACATATTCTTCTAGATATTCTGGAACTTTCATTGTAATTCTTTCATCTAGGTCACCATTTAAATATGCTGTAGTTACATCCATTTGACATAAATGTAAGTCTTCTTCTAATGCCATTCCTACAACTGTTCTTATGGAACTCAATTTTACAACTGGTGCAAAAGTTTCATTATAGTCTATCCCAGGTTTTTGGGTAAAGCCTTGTGCGACTAGTCTGGCCTTTTTAATTTCATTGTGTGGGCCAATTTTCTTTTTTAAAATAATTTTGTATCCGATTAGTCTCGTATCTTTCTCTTTAGGAACTATCCGCCATGTACCATTTTTAATATGCGCTCTGATTTCAGATTTTATAGCATCATGGTAATCTTCGTCATCACCATCTTCACATTTGTGTGATTGTTTTGCTATGTTTGTGTCATAATATTCATCAATTTCACAATCATTATCATTAATTTGTACATAGTCATTCAACCGTATTGGCGGTCTTCGTTCTCTTTGAGGTCGTACAACCGGATGTATCTCATTTTCATCTGTATTTACATCTGGATTAGGGTTATTTACAACATCTGTAATATCAAGTTGCTGTACAGTTAAGTCATCATTCATTCTTGTTTCGAATTGTATATTTGTGACTTCTGCTTTGCTATCTTTTTCTTTATTTTCATTTTCAATAAGACTTTCATTAGTATCATTTTTGCTTTCGTAATACATTTCATTTATTACCTTCACGTCTCTGCTTATCATTATATCATTTTTCTCTGGTATGAATATCCGATAACTTTTTGCATTTGACGCATAGCCCATAAATACACCTTTGATAGATTTAGGAGTTAGCTTTCCACGGCGTGTCTTTTTGAGGACAAAAGCTTTGCTTCCAAATACATGGAGATGATTCCCCGATGCTGGTCTGCCTACCCACATCTCATATGGTATACTACCTTTTAGTAGTTTGGTTGGACTTCTATTTACAAGGTAATTTACAGTATTTACAGCTTCGGCCCAAAGAATCTTGGGCGCGTTTGAATCTATCATCAAACAACGAGCTTTGTCTAATAAAGACCTGTTCTTGCGTTCAGCAACACCGTTTTGTTGGGGTGTGTAGGGTGCGGTAAGTCGTCGCTTTATCCCGTTCTCCCTTAAATACTGATCGAACTCTTTGCTTCTGTATTCAGTGCCGTTGTCAGATTGTAGATTCTGTATTTTAAGTTTGTGAAAATTCTCCACTTCTTCTTTAAATTCTTTGAATAGTCTGAACACTTCATTTTTGTTCTTCATAAAGTAGACGTAGCTGTATCTTGTATAATCGTCGATGAATGAGACGTAATACTTTGACCCGGCCAAAGTTTCTATTTCGAATGGGCCACAGACATCAGTATGAATGATTTCTAATGGTTGATTGCTATTTATAGAATCATTTTTGGGAAATGGTAATCGTGTCATTTTACCTTTGATGCATGATTCGCAGGTATCGAGTTTATCTTCCTTAAAAATAAGTCCTCTTAACTTCTTGTCTTTAGCCATTTGTTTTAGGTCTCTCTCATTAATGTGGCCTAGCTTCTTATGCCACGTCATCATCTCTGATTCGACAGTTACTGACTTTGCTATATCTTCGGATTCACGACATATGTAGTATAAGCCATCCTTTCTCTTTGCTTTTAGTGATATGTCACCGTTAGGTTCAACAACATAAGCTTTATCTTTCTCGAACACAACTTTATTGTCTCTGTCCGTGATCTTCCCAATTGAAAGTAAGTTTGTCGAGAGATTTGGCACATAAAGAGTTTCATGTAATTTGCATGAGTATTCGTTCAGACTTACTTGTACCGTGCCTTTTCCTCTGACGGGTGTCGAGTGGTCATTTGAAGCTAATTTTACCGAGCCATTGTCTTCGGAAATATTTAAAAATATTTGTTTATTATTCGTCATATGTGACGTGCATCCACTGTCTAAACACCATGACATTTTTGACATATTTACATTATTTAAATTTAGACAAGTATTGAAACTTTTCTGTTGTTTGTTGTCTTTGCCCTTTGAAACTTTCATAAAAGTTTTGCCTTGTTTCTTGTTGGACCAACATGATTCCGTACTATGCGTGTTTTTCTTACAGAATGTACAGAACTTCTTCCTTTTGGAAATTAAAGCTTCAGTTTTATCTTCGGACTCTGGTTTCTCTGCATTGCTCCTCGCCTGTGATTCTTCAAAGATTTTAACTTTTAAATCTTCAGGATTAGGCAGTGTATCTCTTGATTCTATTGCGATGCGGAAATTCTCGTAAGAAGTCGACAAGCTGTATAAAATCATGACACTGAGCAGTTCCTTTGGGATTTTGATGTCCATGTCCTCGAGTTTATCTACTATGTCCATAAAGTTATTTAAATGGTCGCGGATGTCTTCGTTAGTGCTCATTCTCTTAAGTACTAGCTGCTTTAGTAGGGTGGCCATTCTAGCTGGCCCGGTGCTTTGATAAGTTGCCTTTAGCTTATCCCATACCGACTTTGACGTTGTGCAGCTTTTAATTTGTTTTAATTCTGACGGGGATAGCAACAAAATGATCTCTGCTTTGGCTTTGAGGTCTTCTTTGTTGAATGCCGCCCTGGCTATAGCGTCAGCATTCGGCTGTAGTATTTTCGCACCGCTTACTATATCCCACAGTTCATTTTTTATGAGAACAGCTTGTGCTTGAAGGCACCAGGTGTCGTAATTGGATTTCGTTAATGCTTCTATAGAAATTCGATTGTTTGTAGCTGTTGCCATTTCTGCAATTTTATTTACAGTACTCCCGTAAACGATAACCACGCTCTGCTACCACTTGTTAGAGGGAGATTAAACAGCGGTTTCTATGAACTAATAACGTTTTATTATATAAGTATAAATATTCATATTTTAATTTAACGACACCACAAATCGACAGACGTTTTCAATTCATACTACACTATGGTATGTATTAGCGATGATCTACGGAGGTCGAATATCGTGCCTTGCTGGTTGACTACCAACACTGTGGCCTGTGCTCAGCAGTGGGCGTCGTACGGCTGCTGATGACAATTTATATTTTTAAGATTAAGAAACAACCACTGTACAATCATATAACGATTGTACACTTTTATTACTCAGAAATTAATATACTCATAAACTTAATATTAATTATAAACATCATAAAACCACACATCAATATTCACATAATTACGCACGTCAAATTGAGTTAACTTGCTTCGTGATCTCCGACCTCTCTCAAAAAATATTGAGTTTTTAAAAAAATATTTGAACAAAAAATGTCAAAATTATGTAATAGAATTTAAATAATAGGTATTATAACATTATCAAAGCGATTGAAACAGAGATACACGAGACAAATCGATTAAGATCTATCCTTAAATACTTTGACATAATATTAAATCTTATGAGAAGCTTTTGCCACGACTTTTAGCTTTTGCAACGCCAAAACCAACAATAGAACTTCCAACTCTCAGTCTAAAACTGACCCTTTTTGTGGTAATTACTAGACTATGGTCGTAGACAGAGACTATGGTGTAAACCGTGTAAACTGCCTCAAACACTCGAGACTTCTTCGGCTATTAGTCAAAATCAAACACTTATGTCATAAATGTCATTTCATTTAGAATATGTCACCATAACAATGCACCCATGTTTACAATCAGCTCGTACGCTCTACACCCTCTGGCGCAGCGGTTCATAAGGTTGTGGCGGTACGCGCAGCTGGTCTCCGACTGTCTGACCTTCCTGCTGTCCATGCTCTGTTGTCAGTGCGGTGCCATGATGCCACTGTCAACCTCTTCATCCATCGCTGATGGCGACGAATCTATCGAAGCTTATAGGGTATATTTACGTTCATTTTTTCTGAATAGTTTATGATAATTCTTAGTAACATTTCTATCTTATGCAAAGCAACATTCTACTGTTCAAACAATCGATCAAATCTTTCTTATTTATAATATTCATTTTCTACATAGCGTAACAGGAAGAAGTAAACACATTGAAGAAGAAAGAAAAGCATTTTATAATCTTAGTTACTATAAGATTTATTAAGTATCAACGACAAGCAGAAGAGTCATCGCTGAATTGAAATTAAATCATTTCTCAATGCTATACTATATAAGCACAAATACTCTTATTTAACTTTAACACTCGTGTTTGTATTAGCAATGCGCAAAGATGATTCCAATGGCTAGACGAAATAGGTTAAAAATGCAATGGTTATATCTGATTTACTAACTCTACAGATAGTCTCTGAGCCAGTTATAGACGCTGGTAGAGCGAGCGGGGAACCATTCAGACCACAACACTTGGTCATAGACTTCAACCCTCAAGCGGGAGACACAGATGAGGTCAGTCTCAAGTGTCAGCAGTTGTGGGAGGTTGTCAATAACCACCCGGCCCTGGAGGGGATGATGGCTGTAGCGGTATGCGTAATGAACAATTTTATCGCACGTTGTTTTCATCATTCATTTGTGTGTATGTGTGTACTAAAAACATATGAACGTTCTTATGTATACAGGTTGCTAAAATACATTAAATTCCCACTATTGAATATCAACCCTATCTTCATTATATTATTTTAAAATCCAAGTTTAAAATTTCTAAAGCTTTGTATAACATGATATGCTGTTGAGTACAATTTACGTGTCTTACATATTTCGGCTAAAACATGGATACCTATATCACAAAAAAAATGCAGGATATTCCCTTGTGAATCCCATGGAAGTCAAAAGAATAGAGTCTATTTTTCGAACAATTATAACGTTAATTTATTACAATTTCGAAAAATTCCCAAACATTTTCTAACTCACAAGTAACTATGTTTTTCAAGATCCACTAAATGGAGTCAGCGATATTACATAGTATTACAATAGTATTACATTATTAAAAAATAATTTCCGTGTAAATACTTGAGCAGATTTTGATTAATAAAATGTGAAATATTATACCATCCTCTGTAAAAACTTGGTTATAGATTCAGTACACGTTACCAATGAAATAGTGTTTTCGATACATCGAACGAAATTAATATGCTGGGTAGGATCAGAAGTTCATAATGATTTTACTATCGTTGCGAGATGCCAGATTAAACATAAAATATTGTGTTCACACAGTAAAAGACTGGTCTGCGGTACAGAGATTACGATAAGCCTTGGTCCTAGTTCCATCTGCAGTGTATCACTACCCACCAATTCATGCTGGGCCAGTGTAATGTTAAGGCTTGATCACCCTACACGATTATATACTGAAGGAAAACATATGCCCCGATGATTAGGTCATTAATCTTATCATCAATTGTCGCAGGAGGGAGAAACAGATAGAAAAAATATTTTGAGGGAGCTATCAGCTTCTGTACCAGTACACAGGCCGACGCCTTCTCCTGACAGTGAATCTAATTATCCAGCGCTTCGCATCATTAAGAAATTGGAGGGAAAAGGTTGCAAATACATTTTTAATACGAATATATATTAAAAGAACATATTTTCTCATACTAAAAGGATCGAGTAGAAAATGTAACAAATTTCAAAAAGCGATGATTGGGTATAGAAGCTGTGGAGATAGTTAATTTCTTCACTTTACACATTACTTTAACGGGTATCGAGTTTGTCACCAACATAGGTAGAGAGGGTAACATAATACCATGGCATATTTGCAGGATTCGAAAAATTTTTTTTAGTTTCCAGGTCAATATAGAAGTTTGAAGACCTAGAATTACTAACGTGTATATCTAGTTCAATTCAGTACTTCGATCCTTCGGAAGGCACGTTAGGTCACTGGTACCGACTGTGTCTTCAGTCATTCCGTATTGGGCTCCCGCACTGGACACGCTTGGTGAATTATATATAGCCAGTTCATCCTATTTGATTTCAACATTACAGAAGGCGAGTGCTCCAGCAGTCAGCACATTAATATGCTGGTGATGATGAGAATTTACATATTATATTGTTTCAGGCACTATCGATGCAGCCTTAGCAACATCAAATAAATCAAGAGCGAAACATTAGATTTTTTCAATACATTTTTATTTTTTAACTATCTAATATGAACTACACTGTTGAATGCCAGTCTTATTTATAAGTTTTATTTTATATATTTGTGTTTGTTACTAAAGTATTTGTTTACGTTTAACATTTATTTTGTTATGTGTTTATTTTTTTAAGAATTTTATAATATTTATCAAAACTGTGTACAAAACCTAATTAGAAGAAAATTTATATTTGATATAAAATGTATATTAGCTGATGTTTGAGAGTAAATAGATTTCGGAAGTATCTGTGGTTATGATACAACATTTTTGACAAAATGTTAATGAGTTTTTTTTTTCAATGGTAAAATTTTATATCTAATATTGAATAAATTTGATGTCACACTTTCTAATAAAATCAGAGTGTTAATAAATGTTATTTTTTTTATTTTTTGGTTCTCTTTTTTTCTATTTATAGAAAATACGCAATTATACTATTAAACAAGCGGTCTTCCCGAGACTTCGCCCGCGTATATTATAGTAGGTGAAACAATTTACATGATCGGGTCATTAGATTAACCCCCACAAACAGACAAAGTTAGAAGCTTTAATAGATTCGTTTACCATAATTCAATTACTTAATCCTTTTTGGAGATCTGAATAATAAATAGGGTATTTCTGTACATGAATAATTAAACTTTTATGCTAATATTTTCTTTTCTCTACTCACTACATTATTTTACCTTTAAAATTACAACATCTATACTATAATAATACAGTAGAACATTAAATATTTTCCTAAAAATTGATTCAGGTTTACAATATTAAATAAAACACAAATAGAAGACAGTTCAATTATTTTTTTAATTATCTGTCTATATGTATGTACGCGTTTTTCTCTGAAACCGATTTTAATAATTCTTTTTTTTTTTATTTTGTAGCTATTAATACTGGGCACTGTTTAGGCTATAATAAATTTTGCTGGCTGTTCTCCATCATATGGAACCCTTAGAGATCGACAAAACAGAGATACGGAAACGGTGCCATAGAAAAATTGTTTCACGTTAAGCATATTTTGCTACGTGATTAAAATTTGAAGATTTAAAACATCTAATGTGGAAATCTTAAGAGTCTTCTGCACTATAACATATACGAAACGATATCTTAACATCACTTGTTCAAAGTAATGAGTATTTTCTGTTAACTTATATAAGTCGAAGATCTAAAATATGTGATGTGGAACTCTAAGAGGTCACTAACATTATAACATATACAAGTATGAGATCTCAGCAAAAGCTGTTTAGTCCGATGAGTATTTTTTTGTTGCGCGAATAAAATTCAAATATTTGGAACATCTGATGTGGATTTCCAAGGGCTCAGCATCACCATAACATTTGCGATGAGATGTATAAGCGAAAGTGGTTCAGTCTGATAAGCATTCACGGCTGACTTCATCACCATCAGCTTATAGGTTTTTAAATATTTCAATTCGCTTGCTCCATACAGTTTGAGGACCAACTTTATTTACTTTTATAGCTCTTAAAATTCTTAACGATGACCAACCATGCCAAAATGTACCATACCAAACAAAAAACCCTTAAATTGTGGATAGAACATGATTAGTATTCGTCGAAATGATCGACCAATGGATCACGTCACAAGTATCTTTGTCAAATTCTTCGCGTAATAAAGGAACAAGAGCAAATTAAATTAATGCTGCATTGAAGAATTTATGTCCCTGGCAGTATTTAAGACTAACTACGAGTATCAATATGAGAGTCCAACTTGGCAATATTATAATGAGCAATTTATGCAGTGGAACCCGCCTTAAGATTATGGCTTTGCAGAGGAATATTATCGAAGCCGAGTTTCTAACCGGCTGTGGTACAGATGAGGTGAGACTGACACCGCGTATACCACTCATCCACAAACATTTACCGTTTGAATTCAAACGCACCCATTTGCCTGTGGCTACTTGAATCTACAGACAGATACTCAAGTGTTGGTGTGGATTTAAGGTCTGGTCGTTCTTCCCACGGATAGCTGTACGTAGATTTGTCGCGAGTCAGTAGTACTGCGGGTTTGTTTATATTAGCTCCCACAGTTAGCTTCTGAAGAAAAAACAAACAATGTTGTGTACATACAAGGAGATTCTGTAAATTTTTTGTCATAGATTAACTATTTCATTAAGTTCATTTATAATAATTTAAATATCACGTAAGACGACCAAACAATAATTCGCACATTCCTGTTTATTAATATTAATTCAATACAGAAACCAAGACAACACCATTCTCACTATATTTAAAACTTTTATCGGATTTCTATGTTTGTATAATAAATACCAATTTAAAAGATATCACAACACGATACTTATCTTAACTTAAAGTTATTATTGTAAAGGATATTTTCTATAATAATATTATAGAGGAATGATTTGATTGTTTGTTTGTTTGTTTGCATCGAATAGGTAACGGCGTAGTCATCTATGATTTATGTCGAGCTGAAGCCTTCAGAGACACACCATGCTGGAATACCTGTCTGTGTAATGTGACTTTCTAAAATTTCCATGTCCAATAAATAATTCATTCATTCAAATAATTGATAAGATACAGTCAATCGACTTGATACTGTTTTACGAAATTGCACTTTTACAAGACTTTGTTTTCATATAAAGACTTTTTATCTTATTGATGAGAATAGTCGTTCTGGAGAGACTACAACGCCTGTCTATCTAGTTTTTAAATAATAACACCAGGTAAATTAAGTAAGGTATTTCTCCAGGTTTTATTGTAACCGCCCCTATGGTTTGTCGTACATGATACGCATCTCCATATAGTCCTGTTTGACGCGGGCATCGAATTCTCGCATATCGTTGTGTGCGCGCACCGTCGCACGCTCCCCGTCGTGCGATGCGTAGTCGCGCGTGCCGCACGGACAACACCCGCCGCACGGACAGAACGCACAACGACCATTCACTGCGCCCCAAGCACCTAAACGATACAATGGTATTATAAAACGAGATCTGAGTTCTTCTTCTTCTTCTTAACTTTAATGGCACTTTGCGGCACCACATTACTGCCAACTTCACGTAGGAGACCATTACACGATTAAAATACATTAATTCAACAAAACAATTTTGAATTACCAATTCTATCTTTCTACATAGATTTACCAAAAACAACACGATAAACGATTTTAATACGTTATGTAATTAAGAAATAATTTTATATAAACAATACTTTAAACATAATCATATTGAGTCTAACCACAGACCATTATTAAATTAATTAATTATGTTAAAAAAAGTTAAACGAAAGATAACACCACTGATGTTAAAGTTTTAACTACAGATGCGTCACTAACACATGGTTTCTGAATTGAGAATTTGAAGTTGAGCACTTTTTAAACCGTGCTTAAGCCATTTTAAACGTCAATTAAACAGGTTTTTATTACTGATTTATATATTTTTAATTATCAGTTGATAGCAATTTGATAAAACTAGGACTTTTTGCCATATAAAATGTAAAACACTTAAGTTATTGAGAATAATCAGTTGAGATTTTATTTTTTTCTCAATTCAGAAACCGGCCGTAATTGATTGAAGAACAAACTTGCTATTAAGAGGACGAGGAAGTACCTGATTTAAATCATTGACAGCCTAAGCCAATCGACAAAGACAGAAGGGAATACGTCAAATTGAGATGTGTTGTCAAATTGTGGTTTATTTTGGTGCCCTAAAAAGAATTTATCATCGCCATTTTTCATTCATTTCATTTTACATGTAGAAATTCATTTATTCACTTGACATAAGCAGTTGTGCGAACATAAGCCATAAAAAAAGCAGAAGAAGACTAATTGTGACAGGTTAATGATTTAAACTTGGTTCTAGTTTTCTGAAGATGGAAAGAGATGATGAATTAAAAAAAGCAGACGAAAAAACGGGCATAGCACATGTATTAAATGAGTGCTAAAAGAAAATGATACATATCGGTATCCATACAACTGTGTATCGTGTTCCGAGTAGCCCCTACCAACTGCGATTTGTTACATGGGAATTAAACGGAATGGATCAGTTATACTGGTCGAAGACGTACGCAGTTTGCAAAAGTGTTTTTTTCTATTTATCCCTCAAATGAAACCTTTAAAACATTTTTACACTATTTTGCCGTTTTTGTATATTGTCTCGGGCTTGTGGGCAGATTATATCACTCAAATATTGTTTGGTTGAAAAAAAAGTTTCTTGAAGAAACCTATAAAACGGTAATTATAAGAAAATATAACATTTTTTCAATAAGAGGCCACAAACAATAAATTGTATTGTTCAAAATCACAATTAATTAAAATATTTTTAAAAGTGACATTTTTAAGCTCTCAACCAATTTCCTTCTGTTACGGCTTATCAGAAATACCTAATGAATGTAATTTGTATTGTATACATTTATTTTCTTTTAAATAACAAAGGAAAACCTAAAATGCTTCATGTTCCCAGTGGAACCATCCCCGCAACGCTTGAAAATATACTCTATGGATATAATTTTAGAGTCTAGTTTATTGACTAAGTTTTGAAAGTCATTAGGCAATATGGCTCTTAAGCTACTTGATGTGTGAATAAAAAAGTATAATATCGTACATATTTACTTTAAAAGTTATATTATTTTATGCAGACTTAAGTTTAAATGTCAAAATAGATTATAAATTTAATTCTTGGCAAATTAAGGTTTCGAATTGATTATAGATATTTGAAAGTATTGTATAGTCTTGTGTGCTGCTGACTGTAAATATCTAAACCAGCGATTTGACGCTTCGCTCGCTTTGTTCGCTCCGCGGTGCGTGATCATAATATTCAACCTATTATTAATTAAGACGAGTAATTTTACGCGAATCAAAGGACGCTTTAACAAATATTCTCATTTTCAGAGATTGCTATATCAATTTCTCAGAATAAGAAATTGTTCAAGGATGTACTTTGATAATGAAACGTAGAGTTATAATGATTATATTACTTAGGCTGCGTTGCCATTATCTTATCGTCGGATATTTTATCGTTGTCTATAGCTGACACTATTATATTAACTAAGTATTTGTCGTTTGTACTATGATTCGTGACGGTTTTTTATCATTGAACTTGGTGAAAGACATTTTACCTGACAATCACCATAAATATTCTATTGGACGATTATTTAATGGCGCGAAATAACGATGGAATGTACTTCACATGTCCAATAACTAGAAGCCACCAATAAAATTTTTGGCGATGGGAAATGTTTGAGGCAATCTCTGCTTTCACAACGTGGGTTGGCGAGGTTAATTTGGGGCGAGCCAAGATGGTCATCAATGTGTGCAACCCTTCTTCTCGATACCACGGCAGCAGCACAACTAGGTATCTCTATCCGCACCTAGAAACGCGCAAATAGAAACGCACCTAGAAACGCGCAAATAGAAACGCGCTAGATTGGCAGGAAAAAAGAAATCCTCCAATTTAAAAAAAAAAAAATGATTTTTGTTGTGAACTTTCAGGGAGGGACTACCTTATACAGAGAAGAACCGCCGAGAAATTCAACGAAGGTGCTTTTTTCTGATAAAAATAAGGTTGTTAAGGTTGTGGGTCCCGTTAAAACATCTGACTGAGGAATTCTATATTGAGTTTTGGAGGTGTTCCAAATAATAATACAGCATTTTCAATGCCAAAGTTACCAAAACTAATTTTGGATACATCTAATGTTATAATTATAGTTTCATTATTATAAAACTTCACTACTTTCAAATATATAATACACAATGGCATCTGGGAGATAAATTCATGCTTGGAATATTTCATAATAATATTCATAACAGACTTGTGATTGAAAATAACTAAAGTTTTCAGCAACTATTTCATTGTTACGAGTCTTTCAACGTGTAATTTATGAAGCATATTGCTATAGTTTGAATTACAATAAGCGTTTTATATACATATTGAAAATCTGTTTAACTAAAATCAAAGCTAATCATTCATTCAATATCTAATGCACAACAATAAAAAACGAACGGGGATTTCCCTGTTCGAATTTAAAATTTTGCCAATTATCAAGTTCGTTAAACCACTCGAGCAAAAAGTATAGGAGGTATTTTACGATTGACTATTGTACACTAAGTACCTATGCTAATAAACAATAGTGGCAAAGTATTATTATGCCAAAAATAGAAAAGAATAGAACAGAAAAGAGCAGAGCAGATAAGAAATGGAACAGAACAGAATGGAACGGAACGGGATTGATCTGAACTGAACAGAACGGAAAAGAATAGACCAGACCAGAACAGGACAGACTAGGGCAGAAGAGAACAGTGAACAGAACAACAAATATAATAATCGTTTATTGACACTTAGATAAATTACAAAAAAAAGTAAATTCCAGTACAAAAACAGACGTGTTTTACAAAAAGCTAGGTGCGAAATGGGTCATCACCTCGGCATAATTTGCTAGGCGCAAGAGTATCTTCGTTGATTTTCAGCTTCCCTAAGGTGACAAGGTTCACACAAATATCAAAATAATATTATTTATAGAATAAAATAGCAATTCATTTTAATTAAAAAATAAATAAAATATTAATAGTTAATGGTAAAATATACAATTGAAATTATAATACGTAATTAATAATACAATCAGTCAGTAATATCTAATAATACAGTCCTCACTCAGGTGGCTTCCGACACAGATTATACTCTGCTCCCGATCACAAAATTCTCAAAAAAAACTTGAACATCAACAACCTATATAAATATGAAAAAGGAATGTGAAAAACATAATTATCGCATACCTTTTGAATTTTTAAATATAAATCATATTTAAAATGATTTATATTTAAAAATTCATACCTTTTGAATTTTTAAATATAAATCATATTATGTTCTTATCAGTGTGAATACAGAGGAACAGTTTGTTAAAACATTTATGCCAAAGTATATTGTCTTTATGCTATAAAGAATGGACTCGATGTGTTCAGTGGCGTTTTAACAATTTTTTTTTCTTGGATCAAAAAAAGGCTGTCTCGTTTGATGTACTAGGACAACATCATCGAAACAATAATAATGGACCCCAGCTAGACATTGCAGTGGTAAAATGCAATCTATTATACCACAACACCCAACCCCAAGTCAACATGGTAAAAATCCAATTTTTACAATGACCGACCGGGAATCGAACCCGGCACCTCAGAGATGGCAACAACTTGAAAGCTTGCGTACCCACTTAGCATGATAAAAATACGAGAAAAACGGAAATAATTCGATATAAGCCTGGAATATTTTTAATCAAGTTTGTGAGCCAGTTACAAGAGACTATATTTAAGAATCCATCTCATTTTAGCTACGGAAGGTATAAAAAAAAACACCAGGTCAAAAAATCTTCATTTATTCACGCAAAATGACTAACACGATTTTTTCACAATTTTCAAATTTTGGTTTTATTTATCATAGCGACAATGAAAATTACTGAAATCCAACTAAAAAAATAACAGGAAATAGTGACTTTTACTAAACTTTATTTTTTACTTAATTTTTTTATGTTGTATTTTAATATAATAAAACTTTTATTAAAAAATATTTATGAGTGGATTTTAATGATATTTAGTAGAATATATGTGTCACTCATAAGTCTGCTGCATATATTGCGTGTTATATACCAATATACACATGGAAATTTTCATTGGATTTAAAACAAATTATACTTAACGCAATATAGTAATATCGATTGAAGTCGTATTTCATTGTTAATATTATTGATTTTTTTACAAATATTTATTGTCCGTGTTATATAAAAATATGAGTTTCCAAATATAATATTAGGAAGATTTATGTATTTTATTGAAGTAACATAAGTAACAGTGTGAAAATACGTAGAAGTCACTTTATATGTATTTTGCTTATCATGCCATTGCGAAATTAAAGGAATTTTTTTTTTTTACTAATCCGAAAGAAAATATCGTTGGATTAATTCATATATTTAAAAAGGAAATATATGATACCCTCATAATAAAAAAAACAGCTGTTATGTTTTAATGTTTGATCTCCATACTGAAAGTTGCTATTTGTATCAGGCTAACTCGGCTACGGAGGTCGTCGATTGAAATCAACATCAACAGAAGTTAGAATGCACTGGGTGGGGAGCGAAGATAAAAAACCATGCGGTCAGGCCGCCATCTTTGTATGTAAAAGATAACGCACCAATCATTTATAACGTAAGTCGATTTCTTGGAGATTGTGTCTTATTTTTCGTATAGAGAGTCTAGAGTCGTCATCACAATAATCCTTAGATTAAAATTGTACCAAACTTAATTGTTTTCTTCAGATTATAACGTAGATTATAATTGAGCCCTTTTTTACTTAATTCCCATTAAGACTTCCCAGTCAAAGACCACTATTAATAATCCTTCGTAGATATAAATGTAATAAATAAATGATGTCTTAATAACAGGTGAGTAACTTTTACCGAGTCTTTTAGCGATTTCCGCATATTTCAAATAAGGTGTATCGACTTGGTCGTCCACTGGTGCCTGGCAGATCCTGACCACTTTGGGCTTGCTGACCTCGTCGCGAGGCTTGATGATGACACGACGAGTGCGACCGAACAGGGGGCACGGACAGTTGGGATACACTTTCTAGAACACGATGAACAACATCTAAATATACTCTGGGCACAAAGGCATAGTGATAATAAGATGGCCAGCCAATGAGGTAAACATTGAGTAGCTTGATCGCACAGTAGATGAGCAGCGCGGTCCGCGAACGTTCTTGATAAGCATAATTATTATCTCGAGCTACTCTATGCTTCGGAAGGCACGTTAATCCATTGGTTCACGGCTGCAATTGCAGTCATTAATACCCTCCAATCGCCATTAGGTGAGCATCCATAGAGAGGCCTAAGCCCCTGCAGTGGAGACGTAATAGGACCGACAATAATGATATAAACAAGGATAGATAATGGCATTACTGGTTAATTTGTTAATCGTTGTGAGAATTGTTTTTATTACGCTTTAATCGATTATTATTATAAACATGCAATATAAATTAAATGGGCACGACTAAAATCTTAAATAGAACGTAGTGAGCAAACTCATTCCAGGTATTGGTAGTCGGAATACTTCTTCTCAAAATAAATAGAAGCTGTGTTCCACGGTTACCGGTACTTCCACGGTTTATCAGAACACTAAATTCTTAAATAAGATATGTAATAACGAAGAACGACATTTTATTTATCTTATAGAAAAATACTTTGAAATTATTTTGTAATCCTAGATGCTCCAATCGGGCAATATACATAGCGTGTTTTTAAGGGGCCGTCCATTAATCACGTGATGTTTTTTCAATTTTTTTTTTGACCCTCCCCCCTCCCCCTTGGTGATATATGGTGAGGTTTAAGACCAAAAACACTTAATTTTTGATGTCGCTTTTCGGTTTAATAAACGCGCGTTGAGGAAAAAATACACGTGATATATTACTACACCCCCACCCCCCTTGTGATATTTCGTGATTTTTGTAACCCCCCCCCTCTTTCGGGCCTCATGTGATTAATGGACGGCCCTTAATCAGTATACATTTTTAAACGGTTTAATACCGTAATATATATATGACATACTATTTTTTATAGAGCACACAATACTGAGATTTAATATCAAATTTCATATTAATATAATAATTAAACATTTTCAAGATAATTTTAATAGTTGTATGTGCGGTAGGTAAATTGGAAAAATCAATCATAAGTCACAGGGTACAGTGGGTGAGGAGCTTCGCATCGTGTTTATATCTTCTTTCTTCTATATATCCGATACATGTAACAATTTTACCTATATACATTGTGTGTGTGTGTGTGTGTGTGTGTGTGTGTGTGTTTGTGTGTGTGTGTGTGTGTGTTTGTGCTACTTCACATTAGCACAGATACATATACATTACATAAGTGAGAATTGTTGTAGTACCTTAGGCCATCTTCTGAAGCATTCTGGCGGTGGCTTACGCTCAAGCAACAGTTCAGCGGATGTATTTTGTGTTTCACCTCGCCATTCCCTTCTACGGCTTTTGCAGATTGGTCGACATCTAACAAATTTGAAGCTGAATTTACATGGGGTCGGTAACCGACTATGAAATCGAGACAAATCGGTGCCCTCGTCGAATTTTTTCACACATGTTAAGCTAATGTTAGGCAGACTATGCAAAAGAATATAATGTTTTTATAATAGGGATGGCGACTGGGTTAAAAAAAAGTAAATTCTATTTATCCCGTCAGTTAGATAAAAGAAAAATATTAGATACGTATTTTTATTAACTTCAATTTAACAAGTAATAGCTTAGATAGCAAGCATTAAATTAGATTGTATAAGACGAGTATTAACGCGAAATTTTTCGATAGTTAGATTTTTATATTGCGTTAATACCCGTCTTATACAATCTCCGAGTAATATAATGCAACGTGAAAGTTTAAATTTTTAAACATGCACTAAAGTTGAAGAATGGGGTCTTACTACGTCACGGTTTTGTAGAAGATGTACCAAAGCGTGACGTCATGCGACATTTTAACTCGACGTATAGGCGTAATTTAATAATTACGAAATTAATAAAAAAAAATACGTGTTTAATATTTTTCAATTTACCTAACGAAAAACCAACAAAAATTTGTTGTCTTCCGTATTATATGGGTAAATAATATATATTTACGGTATTTTAAATTGGTTACTGATCTATGGTTATGATGTATAGTTTCTAATTTTGTTTAGTTGCCTTCGGCAATACTAACTCGATCATAAAAATTATTTTACCTACCGGAAGCTACATCAACTATCGAGGGATATTATATTTATGTCGCAGCCAAGTGGCGCAACAATCAGCCGGCCTATTTGACGACTAGCCCTTCAAATGAATGGCGCCATACAATTCCATTATATGGCTAGTCGCCTAATTGGTCGGCTGATTGTACCACTTGGCTGCGCGTAAATATAAGATACGTATACGGAGGGTGAACAACTAGTTAATAACATAAATGCTTATCATACTTGCACAGATCTGCGGTTGCTTTAGGGTCCTTTCTTAAATCAGGTAATTGTATCATTATCTTAGATTGTGTAAATTATATAAAAAAATAACTTATTGACGTGATGTTAATGTAAAGACCAAAGAGAATATAAACGCTACGTCAAAGAGTAAAGTATTAACACTAAGTTTTAATTTTTAACATAAATCTATAATAAAATTATTTGATTGTTTGTTTGCGTCGAAAAAGCTCCGAAAGCACTGGACCGATTTTACGAATTCATTCAATACGGATAGCAACATCATACAGGGTTGACATAGACTATAATTTACACGTGCGAAGTGGCGGTAAATATATCAGGAATGTGTTAAGAAGTTCTTTATATAGTATTAAACAAAGACGCTTCCCGACATCTTTTAAACTACACAGTTGCGGTTTTCAACAATATACAGAGTGACTGAGTAATTAAGAGAAAGACTATGATAGTATAATACAAGAACACGCGAGCGTTGCCACTGGCTGAAAGCTAGTATATAAAATAGTAGTATATACTAGTATAAATAGATATATCAGAATACGTCTTACTTACTGGGATCAGACTTGTCGCTTGCATTGAAAAGTGGGTGGGATTATTTTACCATATTTCATTAAATCAGGATCCTTCATCAATGCACTTATTAAAAAGGCGCACAAGATGGTATTATAAATCTTTTCCAGAAAAGCCTTGTATATTTTGGTAAATTATAGTTAAGTAGGTGGACCTTTCCTTGGTCATCTCGTTGCTAGAGGCAAAATTTTTAAAATAAAATACTAGCCTGGATGCTATTTGTCTCTTAAAATAAAAAGATAATATTTATCTCTTGTCAAATATATATTTAAAATTAATTTGTTGATGTCAATTACATGTAATTGTTTATTATTGTAGTTAATGTCAGATTTAACTTATATCTAATATTATTACCCTCCTGTGGCAAACTGTTACTATAAGGTAATGTAAACATAATAATTTTATTTAAATTTAAGTAGCTTAAGAAAAACATTCAAAAGTATATCAATGATCTGGTACTATGGTTACTGAGTGATAATATGAAACAGATAAAATATTACTAAATTCATATTATAAAGCTACTATAATGCCACAAAGTTGACACAAAATATATATTTAAAGTTTGCCATGAGCTTACCCATCATTAGTCATAACGTCTCAGTACCACTTTGATAGTCGTTTTAAATGGAACATTAAGAGCAGCACCGGAAACGGGAAGCGTGTAAATGACGACCTGCACTCGTCCGTATTCCACATTTGGGTCAGAATGAGGCCGAGGCATCCATTCTATTGGTTCACTTTCTCCTGGTTAGATGGCATTAAAGTATATAAAAATAAGACACATCATTAATAATGTTTCGCTAAATTATATAGATGTTTAATATTCTAGCGGGTTTGATGCTTAGGCAAATGAATAAAAGGCTAACTAAGCTTGCGAACTTTTTTTTAATCCTATGTTTAGATGTTTGGATGTTTGTACATCAATCACGCCGAAACTACTGAACGGATTTTGATGAAATTTGGTATACAGATAGGGTGTTGGCTGACTTAGATAATAGGATACTTTTTATCCCACTGAACATTTCCCTAGGGTCCACGCGGGCGAAGCCGCTGGCGAAAGCTAGTAAAGATATAAAGATTTAAAAGAACCCTTTTCTTCAGATTTGGTAAGTAATTTAACGTTATTATATTTGATTTGATATAATATACATTTTACTTGAGTTCAAACTCGTGAGTATTACGGAAACATAATAAATAGAGTTTTACAACAAATTGCTATTGTTTCAAATTAAATATGTATAACATTTCTAACTCAACGAATTTTCATGAACTCACATTCATAAAGAGCATATTGGATTACTCAAAATTACAAATTACGAATAGCGAATAATTAAAAAAAGGCTGTTTAAAATCAAAGACAAAAAGTTTGCATGCGGAAACCTAGGGCGACATAAACGGTGGTACGACGGCGACGCACTGTTATAATATCTAAATTAGAGCCTATATCACGAAGCTTCCTGTAGAAAGAATTTTCATTATCGTATCACTATTTCCGAAGGTTACTACCCCTAAAGTAAGGTTACCCTAGAAACATACGATAGTTTGAAACTGTATAATATTACCTCCCTTTATAATTTACCTCTTTCCACTAGCGTGGGCCTGTACTATACATATAACCTTCTTCTTGAATAGCTCTGTATATTGATGAAAACCGTATTAAAATTCTTTGAGTAGTTTATAAGATCTTAGAGTACAGGCACCGGGAAGAGACTTTGTTTTGTACTATGTATAGATAGTCATCAAGTTATACCTATGTGCATACAAAAATTCAGCTCAATTAAAAAGCAGGAAGTGTATCAAATAAAATCAATTAAATATTAGAGTCAAGCATGAGTGAAGTTGAGCTAATATAAAAGTTCCGGTATAACAGCTTGTAATGAGCTAATATAGAAGTTCCAGTATATTTGCTGTTAATTTCCCAGCTCAAAGCACTGCAAGAATATTGGACAATTGCCAAGTTAACTGAAAGTCGCAAATATTCACTGCGATCATTTGCTGTCTTGTAGCAATATGATCAGGGTTGCTGTCTTGTAGCAATGTTATGCATTTGCATCGTTATTCTGAATGGTGTAGAGTACAAATTCGGTTGATATAAGTCGCTCTGGAAAATTGGAGATAGCTTCTTTGAGGTTAAATGGTGCCTGAAATATGCAGGTCTCCGTCTCGGAACAAACACACTACGTTGGAACTGAACGAATGGGCGAAAGTTCGGAAACTAAAGCCCCAGTCCTTATTTATATCACTTTCCCTTAAAGCTCATATGTTGTTTTTATGTTGCCCTAAAGCTATTACATATCTGAAAAGGATACTATAGTTTCGTGATTTTACAATAGTCGGGTGGTTTTTGAACTTTTTTATTTTTTTATTATTAAATTACTTCTTAGTTTAAGATAAAGTAGAATAAATAAACATTTTAACTGAGCTATGAAACCTGAAATGGTTACATAGCTCAGTTAAAATTTGATACTTTATTTACATGACGTTATTATTTTTTTAAGAAAACTCTTTTACAATCAACAGCACGTCAGGTTTCACTAAACTGTCTTTGTTCACTTGATTTTAAATCTTATATATATAAAAATATCTTATATAAATTGTTTATATCAAAATCAATTGAGGAAATTTGATATATTTCAGAAACATACGTGCAGCTGTGTCTACAATGAGCCAGATATTTTAAATTGTTAAAATATGATTATAGAAAGTTGGTCCCGGCTGCATCTGCAGTCATCAACACCCACCAATCCGCACAGGGCCTGCGCGATAGTGTCATTGCTCAGTTTTCCTATTTAATTCGATTTCAGTCATGGGAATGCCTGTACCCCAGCAGTGGATATTTTAATGGTAGTGTGCACATTAAGAGGCTGATGCTGATCATGACGTGACACCATGAGTCTCCAATTTCGAAAATGTTTTTCAAGATCGCGTTCATGTTTCTCAATTCGGTGTTCCACTTCTTATAAAACAAAGTCGAAGTACCATGATTCAAGTAGGAATACATTTAAATTATCCCTTGGAAAACGGCGATTTGCAGTGTGCCTTAGCAGGATAATCCCAATCAGCATAGCTTCATACAATAGGTAATCAGATTATCATGTGTTCTTATTGGTTCTGTTCTAGGAACTTCCCCTGAATCAAATTATAGATGGGTGCTTCGAGATCATTGTTGTCTACTCAGAAGTCTAAATTACGAAGCGCGGCAAATGTCAACCACTCAGAATGATTCAAACATCACAACATAGGGCGACCCACAAATGTCCAATGTGCCTGACCTCAGCGGGGTGAATGGACACTTAATACTTGGCGTGAAGATATAAATAGATAAATTACAATACAGCATTGTGTGTGGTGCATAATCTGTCATCTAATTTATATACTATTTATCCTGAGATTAGGCATGTCATGACAAATCGTCACCTGTTAAAGATTCAAGCAAATAACACTGATTTCAAAAGTTGCTAGATTTTATTTGGTCAAATTTCTAGGTGTGACAGGACAGCGCGGTGCTCAACGTTGCTATCGACGCTGTTTTTTTTTTCACCGAACAGCAAAAGCTGATGTTTGTAAAAGTTTTCTATTTCATGATATGATTCAGTAAGTTTATAAAAAAACATCTATTGAGAAATCATCGCTCTTCATAGTATTAATCAGGAAAATAAATTATGAATAATCAATGCCGCTTGTTATTGGTCGGAAAGCAGCCATTTGGTTCACATCTTCAACAGTAGAAGCGAAATACAGTATTTATAAACAAATGTCAATACATCGTAGGTTAGCTAGAGACGGAAACCAGTTGCTAAAACCTGCTTGCTTTTGGAAAAAAAATATCATTATTGAAACATATCGGTAAAGACGAGACGTATTCGTTTACCTTTATGATTGTATACCATTTTTTATAATAGATTTAAAAAATTATAATAATCTTTATAACAAATACAATGTGGACATTATGTGTAGGATTACTATTGATGTCAGTAATATCAGGAACTACAGGTAAGTTGTGCTTTTAAATTACATTTTTTAACACATGTAAGGTTGAATTCATTTTTATATAAAACTAAGAAAATCTACTTATTATAGTTTAGATATTATATTTATTCACAATATTATAGTTTCAGTCATCAGTAGACAGATAAATTATAAAGTAATAAAGAAAAATTAAATAACAGTTTTCACTGAATGATTAAATTCAGTTAAATAATAAGCTGAATTAATGTTTTAGTTTTAGTAGAGTCGTGAGACGCAATCTTATGTCTTTTAATACCATTATGTAAAATGCTTAAAACATATTTTATACGACTCATATAATTTGTACCTGAATAAATTGTTCATTTTTTCAATGAGATAATAACAAAAGTGATAAATGAATCATTTTATTATGTAAAAATACGCAAAATGGTTCAAATCTTTTATGTCCTAGTTAGTAAGCGTTCTCCAATAAAATATTTCTATAATTTGCAGATTTTAATTAAATAAGGCAATGCGTATGAGGAAACGGAGAAGCTATTGATTACGTAAAATCGGTTATTTTTCTTGGTAACATTTTTTCAATATAATAATCTTATTTTACTAAAAAGCGTAACATAAACTTTTGTTAAGGTAAACTAAGTTTAATGCTTATATAGTGATATTGTAAATAATATAAAAAAACTATTTTTTAGTAAAACGTCAGTTACTCCATGTTATTGCTGTTCCGGCATTATATATACACGGCATTTGACCTTTTATAATGAACTAGCTGTTTTCCCGCGACTTCGCCCGCCTAAATTATAGCCCATGTCACCCCCTTATAATGTAGCTTTCCGTAGGTAGTTACGGGGCCCATTCGATGCAAACAAACATACAATCATATTTGCAATATAATAAATTTTAATTTAAAGGCTATTTACAGGGCAAGACCGGCAGTTCCGATACGATTACAAGTACGATCCGAAATTGGGTGGATGGATGAAGGTCCACGTTATCCCAGCTGCATTCCTCGATGCCTTCATGATGTGCAAAGCCGAAGGTAAGAAAATACAGTTCGTGAAAAAGAAAATTAAATATTTATGCTTTCTATCATCTATTCTTCAGAAATTATGCAATTAAATTTTGGCGTCAACTATCGTATATCAGAACTATTGATCGTATACTGCTTCAAGTGACACAGTAAACATCTACACTTCCCAACTGTAACAGCAGTTGTCAACAACCACCAAGGCCTTTATTCGCAATAATCACTTATCAATTCTTTGCTTTCAAACCATATCAATATCTTATTAAGATAAGACATTTGTCTTTAAATTAGATATTAAAACAACAGAGGATTTCTCTTGCTTGCTAATGATTAGACAGAGTAATAATGGAACCAAGAGTTTATCAGTCATCAAATAGTGCACCAAAATGCTCAAGGAATGTTGAGTAAAGAGTTAGAAGTAGAATTAATCATGAGCTGTAACAATATTGATATTTTCTGTATTACGGAAAATTGGTTAACAAGTTATAATTGCATTTTTAACTTCAATAATCACCTGGTTGGTAGCGCGTTCATTAGGAAAAACGCAATGTGTGGCGGCGCACTAATTTTATTAAATAAAAAGTTTAAATTTAAAGAACGTAGAGATATAGTGAGCCTATCGGTTGAGGAAATAATAGAGATTGCCTGCATAGAGCTTGACCAGCTGATTGTACTGAGCGTATATAGACCTCCTTCAAGTTTAGTTTCTCATTATGATCTTTTTGAAATAGTTATGGATGAAGCTTTATATATAGCAAAGGCAAACGATTAGTGATTGGGTACTTTTGTTTATTAAAAGAGGGCTACCACCAAATGACGATGTGAACAATTCTATCGCTAAAGTAATACATTGGTTTAATGTAAATAATCTTCTCCTTAATGAAGGAAAAACAAAATGCCTAAAATTTGTAGTACCTAATCAACAACAAACAAAAAACGTAGATATAAATGTTAATATAAAAGATAAGAACATGGGCCTTGTGGATACCACAGTATTTTTAGGAATAACATTAGATTCTAAACTACAGTGGGGCTCACATATTGATAAATTGTCGAGTAGACTTAGTTCTGCAGCTTATGCCGTAATGAAGATTCGTAGGTTAACTGACATTAATATACTTCAGTTACTTTCATAGTGTAATGTTGTACGGGATCCTATTGTGGGGAAATGCTGCCGACATACAAACGATTTTTGTGCTTCAAAAAAGAGCAATTAGATCAATTTATAATCTTAGGATTAGGGACTCATTAAGGGAGGAAATTAAGGAAATAGTCATAATGACTGTTGCTTCTCAATACATATATATTTTCCATAAAAGTGATGTACACAATTTTAATACAAGAAATAAAAATAATTTAACGGTGCCTGTCACTAGACTGCAAAAAATTAATAACTCATTCAGGGGTCTTTGTGTGCGCTTCTACAATAAGGTCCCAAGCAAAATACAACAATTAGATATCATGCAGTTTAAATCTACTATTTAAAAAATACTTATTAAAAAAGCTTATTATAAAGTATCCGATTATATAACAGATAAGAATGCTTGGACTTGAGATGCTCCAGCAACTGGATAGGTGATTACTTCTAAACTCATTATATAACAAAAAATATCTTTTTTCCATTATTATTAAATGATTATCTTATCATTATAAGACCATCGATTTTTTTTCTCTCTCTATTCTAATGTATTGATCTGGTAATGACATGGTTTTTGTAAATGTCATTACTCCTATTAGAGCTGATGAGTTACTTGCTCGTTCTTCTTATCAGCCAAAAGACGTCTTGAACAAGCAGCAGGGGAAAAAATGTTGGACGATTCGAAAGTACTTTTAAGAATTCTATTTGAATAAAGATTATTTTGACTTTGACTTTGGCAATATTTGTATTGTATATGTGTGTGATGAAAATATATTGAATGTAACCCCATGGATAACGCACGAGTTCTGCGCGATATAAACTGTCGAAAATTCCACACTCAGAAATCGTGTAGTATCGCAGTGCCTACCCAACGGCGTTCTAATTAATTCACCAGTACCATCGTTAAAAACATCGCCGCTAAATGGTATACACAGCTTGCACCATACGGAATAGAATGATTCAGCAGATTCCTTGCCATGACCTGGAAGACGTGGTTTCGCGTGGTAAGATTTAAGTGGGGAATAAGGGCATATTTTTACCATAGGTCTGCGTCATCGATCCACATCATGGGATCCATCTTGGGTCCACGATCCAGCTACCTAGGACATGGATTTTTGATTGTGGTTCTAATTTCAAATAAATACGCACCTTGGATCGCGCAAGGCATCATCCACCCTTGCTATTTCTGTAGAGCGCGTCATAAGGAGTGCGTTGGGTCCCTTTAGATTGTTAGGTGTGAATCCGGTTAATAAAGTAGCCAGACGTTGTCGAAGTGACCCCTCACACATGATCTCTCACTAAATGGAGGTTCGCGCTAAAACCTTACGGCGGTTTTGACTTAACTACCTACTCCCAGATTGACAGATTACCATATTTAGCCAAAAGGATAACCGATTATTATAATAACTATATATACAAGTCCCTAAAAACATAATAGAATAGATTTACTAAGTAGATACTGAGAAACTGCACTTAAAGAAATTCAACGTCCCCCACGTCTCTCACTTCATCATAATTTATCTTGAACTTGCTTACAGGTGCTGTATTAGCCTCACCAATTAACGAACACTTCAGGAAGGCAATGCTGACGTTACACAAAACTGCCTGTGAATATGCGGCTCTGTATACTGGGATTCACTCGGTGGCCTCTAAATCATCTTATGCGTCCATCGACGGTAAGTCATATATGAAGAATGAATTAAATAGATATAATAATATATGAATAGGGATAGTCAAAGCAACTAAAAACTGTAACGTGCGTTGACTCTCCCATGGGCTCCACTAATTCATTCGCCATCATCAACAGCCTATTAACGTCCTCCCTTCTGAGGCATATGCGTCTATATGGACAGAATGGTGCCTAACCCATCACATGCGCCCTGTTCGGGTTGATGAGTGTCTGGAACCAATGGCTTAACGTACCTTCTGAAACATGGAGGCTCATTCTCTCCAACTTAGTCAGATAAACATTCAAAAACAATAAAACAAGAGCCACGATTGCCATTTTCTTAAAACTTAAAGTTAACTTTTTTATAGGAACACCCCTATCAAAACTTCCCTTGGAATGGGCTCCATACGAGCCTGACAACTTTAATGATTCAGAAAACTGCATTGTCATGCTGAAAAACGGTACCATAGCAGATGTTCCTTGCACAGAGACCTACTCATACATCTGCTACAAGAAGAAGGAGCCTTATATGACCCTTAACGAGTGTGGTACTACTGACGGAGGTAATATTCTGAAAAATAAGTTCTATTTTGCCTTTGTCGCCTCTGCACATTTACAGTAGAAAGTAAATATAGAAACGCCAATTAAAAATCGCATAAAGTATCTATGTGGATCATGAAAAATCAACAAAGTAATGGTAAGCATTATCATTTAATATTCCAGAATACACCCTGGATGTTCGCACGGGAAGTTGCTACAAGCTCCACCGTGCCGGTCGCACTTGGCAACGAGCTAACATGATTTGCATGGCGGAAGGAGGACATCTCGCCATCATCAACAGCAAAACGGAGGCGCAAGTAGTCAGGGATCTCCTGGCGAAGCATCCTGATGAAAATCTTATCGCCCAAGACAAAAACGTTTTTTCCATGGGCTTCCATGACTGGGGAGATACCGGTGCTTGGTTTACTGTCCACGGTGTGTTTATTATTAAGGATCTAGCTATATCTAAGAATGTTCTTCTTTTCTATTGCGCAAAGAAATTTCTCCGTAGCCGAGTGGTTCGCACGCCGGTTTCAAGGTGTCGCCATCTCTGAGGTCCCGGGTTCGATTCCCGGTCGGGTCAATGTAGAATATGAACTTTTCTATATTTTCTATATTGACTCGGGTCTGGGTGTTGTGGTACCTTCGTTGTCTCAGATACTCCATAATACGGGGGCTTTAGCTACTCATCTTGGAATCTGAGCAATGTATGCGATGTTGTTAAATATTTATTTATATTTATATTTATTTTATTAGTTACTTCTCAAAGGCAGTGGTCCATAATTTAAAAAAAATGTGGCCCAACATCAACTTGAGCTGCTAGTGCACTGGAAGGAAATTGAGCAAAGGAAAGTACTTATGGTCTTCAGTAAATATTGGTAGTTATTTATCAATCCATAATATTTAATTAAGTCAATGTAATTAGCAGCGAAAAAAAAAACTTTTTAAGGTCGATCATACTTACATATTATAAAACAAAGATGTGGGTTACGGAATGTAGGGGAACTGACGCGGAACGGAACAGAAATACATGGATACACTCCACAGTAATTATAATATTTCTGTGGATGCACTCACGTAAATAATCAAAAACTTTTGTTTCAGGTCAAACGCTGGAGGAAGCAGGCTATACGCCTTTTCAGAAAGGTCAGCCGGATAATATTAGATTCGACATCCACGGTTCCCACTGTGGTGGTATCTTCCGCGATGCTTTACTGGACGATCTGAAGTGTACGAATCAAATTTATGCATTCATCTGCGAAAAAAGGCCTGACAGTTTGCTCGCGTCAGACTTATAATGAAAAATCGAATGGCCAAATGCACTAACCTTTATTAAAGCATTATTTGTATTAATAGAGGTCTGTCACCGAATGTCACATTAAGCACAATCGGCCAAATATTCAGTATACTTTGTACACACGGCTGCACGTCAGGTTATTACAATATGTCAAAATCCGCAACAGATTTGTCTCTTTCGACCTGCATTTTTTTTATACTTTAAATTTCACAGTTTTTTACAACCTGACGAGCTGATGACTGTACAAGTGTTAGATAATAATGTTACTACATGTGTACAAGTATATAAACAAAGATTTAATCCATATGGATAATGAAGTTAAGTTGTAAATTAATTCCTTAATTAATACAATAAGCATCATCATTATTTGGAACTAAAAACAATTGTACAGTTCAAGTGAGTGTAGTTTACACAAACTATGCTAAATGCTTTTGCCAACGACTTCATCTGCGCAAAATTAGTTTTTGCGATAGCTTATTTTAAATCGATGACATAAAGGTCGTTCTGAAGTCGCCTATTTTTTTTTTCTATTCCACGATACCTTTGGCAATGGTCTTCAAATGTTTTCTTCATTTGAAGTTAAAATCATGGTCTTTCCTTGCCTGAATACAAATTAAGTTCATATAAATAAACTAGTAATGTAGATATATCTATAAAGTCAATTAGTAAAAACTGTGACTTTTTTAAAATTTATATAATACATATTCGAAATAAAGAAAATAGTAGTGCGCTGTCTTTTCACCTTTTTCACCATTTATGTAAGAAAATAACTAGAACTACTTTGAAATATGGGTGCATAAAATTAGTCTCCAAATATTACGTGAATACCCACATATTCCATTCGGAAGAGCAGTAAGTGTTTTAATTTCATTACAACGCAGTATATCATCATCACCAGCCCTTTTATATATACGCAGTATATGTTTTAATTTTATTACTATATACAGAGGGGAACAAAATGACCGACACAGCCGAAAGTTTCAAGTTAGGTTACATGCAAACGTTCATTTCATTAGACAAATATTTAAAAATAGAGGAGGTGTAAAAATGGAGTAAAAATTTTAAATTTCTAAGTGTTGACAGCCTTTAACGCGCATGCGCAATATAGATTGTGCGCAGATTACAACGGACCGCGAAATACATTAATTTAATTTAATTATTTACCGATATCTTAATGATAGTCGATGCTGAAAATGTTCGGTGGCGACTGATCGGCTGGACAATACCAACAGAATAATGAAGTCGTCTGGCGGCTGGCGGGTGGGTGGGGCTTTGATATTGAGGGACGAACTCGGTTCATATTTTTTTATTCGTCTTTTGATATCACGCATTTTTTAATGTTCTTTTTAAATGCTATTTTAATAACAAATTCCTCAATGTTTTGAAAACAAAGTCCATTTGTGTTAATGATGAATCGCTGGAAGATTTGTGAGTTTATCGAGTTTAATTAACGATCCCGTTGTTAAAGGAGTATTACCCCATTCAAACAATTTTTTTGGAGAACTGCTCTTTTAAAATAACGTAGGTTAATGTTAGACTGATCTCTTTACAATAATTTAGGTAATTTTACACTCGGTTTCTTAATTGAGTATTTAAAGTTAAACGTCTCAAACTAATATCACTTAGTTTTCGTTTCCGATTTTAGTTTTTTGATGATCATTTGATAGCAGTTTGATAAAACTAAGACTATTTGACTTGTGAAATTAAAAAACTTAAGTTTAATCATGAGCTGTAACAATATTGATATTTTCTGTATTACGGAAAATTGGTTAACAAGTTATAATTGCATTTTTAACTTCAATAATCACCTGGTTGGTAGCGCGTTCATTAGGAAAAACGCAATGTGTGGCGGCGCACTAATTTTATTAAATAAAAAGTTTAAATTTAAAGAACGTAGAGATATAGTGAGCCTATCGGTTGAGGAAATAATAGAGATTGCCTGCATAGAGCTTGACCAGCTGATTGTACTGAGCGTATATAGACCTCCTTCAAGTTTAGTTTCTCATTATGATCTTTTTGAAATAGTTATGGATGAAGCTTTATATATAGCAAAGGCAAACGATTAGTGATTGGGTACTTTTGTTTATTAAAAGAGGGCTACCACCAAATGACGATGTGAACAATTCTATCGCTAAAGTAATACATTGGTTTAATGTAAATAATCTTCTCCTTAATGAAGGAAAAACAAAATGCCTAAAATTTGTAGTACCTAATCAACAACAAACAAAAAACGTAGATATAAATGTTAATATAAAAGATAAGAACATGGGCCTTGTGGATACCACAGTATTTTTAGGAATAACATTAGATTCTAAACTACAGTGGGGCTCACATATTGATAAATTGTCGAGTAGACTTAGTTCTGCAGCTTATGCCGTAATGAAGATTCGTAGGTTAACTGACATTAATATACTTCAGTTACTTTCATAGTGTAATGTTGTACGGGATCCTATTGTGGGGAAATGCTGCCGACATACAAACGATTTTTGTGCTTCAAAAAAGAGCAATTAGATCAATTTATAATCTTAGGATTAGGGACTCATTAAGGGAGGAAATTAAGGAAATAGTCATAATGACTGTTGCTTCTCAATACATATATATTTTCCATAAAAGTGATGTACACAATTTTAATACAAGAAATAAAAATAATTTAACGGTGCCTGTCACTAGACTGCAAAAAATTAATAACTCATTCAGGGGTCTTTGTGTGCGCTTCTACAATAAGGTCCCAAGCAAAATACAACAATTAGATATCATGCAGTTTAAATCTACTATTTAAAAAATACTTATTAAAAAAGCTTATTATAAAGTATCCGATTATATAACAGATAAGAATGCTTGGACTTGAGATGCTCCAGCAACTGGATAGGTGATTACTTCTAAACTCATTATATAACAAAAAATATCTTTTTTCCATTATTATTAAATGATTATCTTATCATTATAAGACCATCGATTTTTTTTCTCTCTCTATTCTAATGTATTGATCTGGTAATGACATGGTTTTTGTAAATGTCATTACTCCTATTAGAGCTGATGAGTTACTTGCTCGTTCTTCTTATCAGCCAAAAGACGTCTTGAACAAGCAGCAGGGGAAAAAATGTTGGACGATTCGAAAGTACTTTTAAGAATTCTATTTGAATAAAGATTATTTTGACTTTGACTTTGGCAATATTTGTATTGTATATGTGTGTGATGAAAATATATTGAATGTAACCCCATGGATAACGCACGAGTTCTGCGCGATATAAACTGTCGAAAATTCCACACTCAGAAATCGTGTAGTATCGCAGTGCCTACCCAACGGCGTTCTAATTAATTCACCAGTACCATCGTTAAAAACATCGCCGCTAAATGGTATACACAGCTTGCACCATACGGAATAGAATGATTCAGCAGATTCCTTGCCATGACCTGGAAGACGTGGTTTCGCGTGGTAAGATTTAAGTGGGGAATAAGGGCATATTTTTACCATAGGTCTGCGTCATCGATCCACATCATGGGATCCATCTTGGGTCCACGATCCAGCTACCTAGGACATGGATTTTTGATTGTGGTTCTAATTTCAAATAAATACGCACCTTGGATCGCGCAAGGCATCATCCACCCTTGCTATTTCTGTAGAGCGCGTCATAAGGAGTGCGTTGGGTCCCTTTAGATTGTTAGGTGTGAATCCGGTTAATAAAGTAGCCAGACGTTGTCGAAGTGACCCCTCACACATGATCTCTCACTAAATGGAGGTTCGCGCTAAAACCTTACGGCGGTTTTGACTTAACTACCTACTCCCAGATTGACAGATTACCATATTTAGCCAAAAGGATAACCGATTATTATAATAACTATATATACAAGTCCCTAAAAACATAATAGAATAGATTTACTAAGTAGATACTGAGAAACTGCACTTAAAGAAATTCAACGTCCCCCACGTCTCTCACTTCATCATAATTTATCTTGAACTTGCTTACAGGTGCTGTATTAGCCTCACCAATTAACGAACACTTCAGGAAGGCAATGCTGACGTTACACAAAACTGCCTGTGAATATGCGGCTCTGTATACTGGGATTCACTCGGTGGCCTCTAAATCATCTTATGCGTCCATCGACGGTAAGTCATATATGAAGAATGAATTAAATAGATATAATAATATATGAATAGGGATAGTCAAAGCAACTAAAAACTGTAACGTGCGTTGACTCTCCCATGGGCTCCACTAATTCATTCGCCATCATCAACAGCCTATTAACGTCCTCCCTTCTGAGGCATATGCGTCTATATGGACAGAATGGTGCCTAACCCATCACATGCGCCCTGTTCGGGTTGATGAGTGTCTGGAACCAATGGCTTAACGTACCTTCTGAAACATGGAGGCTCATTCTCTCCAACTTAGTCAGATAAACATTCAAAAACAATAAAACAAGAGCCACGATTGCCATTTTCTTAAAACTTAAAGTTAACTTTTTTATAGGAACACCCCTATCAAAACTTCCCTTGGAATGGGCTCCATACGAGCCTGACAACTTTAATGATTCAGAAAACTGCATTGTCATGCTGAAAAACGGTACCATAGCAGATGTTCCTTGCACAGAGACCTACTCATACATCTGCTACAAGAAGAAGGAGCCTTATATGACCCTTAACGAGTGTGGTACTACTGACGGAGGTAATATTCTGAAAAATAAGTTCTATTTTGCCTTTGTCGCCTCTGCACATTTACAGTAGAAAGTAAATATAGAAACGCCAATTAAAAATCGCATAAAGTATCTATGTGGATCATGAAAAATCAACAAAGTAATGGTAAGCATTATCATTTAATATTCCAGAATACACCCTGGATGTTCGCACGGGAAGTTGCTACAAGCTCCACCGTGCCGGTCGCACTTGGCAACGAGCTAACATGATTTGCATGGCGGAAGGAGGACATCTCGCCATCATCAACAGCAAAACGGAGGCGCAAGTAGTCAGGGATCTCCTGGCGAAGCATCCTGATGAAAATCTTA